ATATGTTTAAACCCCAGATAATCGGTAAGACGATATACTGTATATAGAATCCCTGCTAGATGGTTGTAAAAAGAAACAAAATATACCAAAAATTTTTTTTTTTAAAAAAAAAAGAAAAGTAACATACGAAAACAAAACAAATGCATAATAAGAAATTATTCTGTAATTTTGCTATTTTTCTTGTTCATCAAACTAGAGTCATACCCTAGGGCCAGTGACTGGCCCTTACTAAGAGTATGATATATACCATAAATTTTAACACTTATTTACAGAAACAAAAGTATTGGTAAGATATAATTTAATTTCGTTTAAATAAATAAATAATTTATTTTATTTTTTTTCATCTAAAATAATTTAATTATTTTTTTTACGTTTCGATTTGATAATCTTGTAATTGGCCTTAAAAGAAGATTTTTTTTGAAATTTATAAAAATTTTTTTTTAAAAAAATTTTTTCGTTTCTAACCAAATAAAATTATTCAATAAAATTTATTTCACATGATAGGATATTTCAAATCAAATTTGGACGATCCTATGTCTACACAATTAATATTTTCATATAAAAAGAATTCTGTCCTTTATTTTTTTAATAAATCATTTCATGTAATATCGATATATATTTTAATAAGTAAATTCATATAATTTAATAAAATAAAATTTGGAAATATATATAATAAAATTCGGATATATATATACAGTATATATTAATAAAATATTTTTTTAATAAAATTCAGATATATACTATATATTTTTTTTATATATATTTTTTGGTCAGGTTCATTTAAGAACGTTTAAATTATTTCAACCGCTTTTATATATTTAGCTCCCTTCAATTCTTATTTTAATTAATCACAAAATTAGCCTCCTGAACAATATATATGAAATAAATATTTCCTTGATATTAATATATGGTTAGCTCTCAGATTTTTGACTAATTCATAATTCCTTGATGTTAATATATGGTTAGCCCTCAGTTTTTTAATCAACCAATTTGGATCATACCGCAGATCATGATCAAAAGTTTTTTTTTTTTATGTAAAAACCATTGTTCATAATATTGATATCAATATAATATCAATTCAATATCAATTTATCAATTCAATATCAATATCAATATCAATATATAAAAATGCTCCCCATACTTAGCGTATAAGAGCTAACCAAATTAGTGAATTTCTCCTTCCTTTCCGGGATAGCCAATTAGCATAGTAACCAATCACAAGAAATGTCACTATTAAAATGAAGATCACCTGATATCATTAACTATCTGTATATAGTGTCAAAGATTCTCTCCAAATGTATCATTATTGTCATTGTTACAACTAAAATTAAACTTATTAAAAATTTTTTGATATATTTATTCTGGTTTTTAACTACTGATTATCATTTCACTGAAGAACAATATTCATTTAGTTAAATTCGTACAGGAATTTTTTTTCAGTGCCAATAATAGTTCAGCCTCATTAAAGTACCATATGAAAATCAACCAAATTTTTAATTCATTGAATAATAATTTTTGTTCATGCACAGTCATGTAAAATTTTCATATATAGTTAAATTCTACTAGTCTACTTTTGTACAGTAAAATCATCACACAATGATTCTCAATTTGAAATTTTATCATCGCAGTTATTGAAGGTTAGATCTTTTTTTAAAAAAAATGAAGTGTAGTACAAAGATATGAATTGGATTAACCAAAGTAATAGCTGGTACATGTAATCTTGCATTGTGATTACTCAACATAAAATAATAATTAAGTACAGTATCATGCAAACAGGTGTAAAGACAAGTAGGTGGTGTATTTTTAGCTTCAGATCAGCCTATAATAGCCTGATAGGCCATTCTGATTTCTTCATTTATATTTATATTTAAATATTTTACTTACTGTATTTTCATAGCTCAATATCGAGCTCCTTACAGACAACCACCTTTTACTCCACCAGGTGGTCCTACCTATGGACAAACCTTTGAAATTTGACCGATATTATTGATATAATTCCGGCCATTTTTATGACGTAATTCTGGCCAAGAAATGATCGATATTAAAATTTCCTTTTTAGAAATTTGCGTAACTATTGTACGACTGATTTCTCCAATTTTGCTGGGAAATAAATTTTCCTTTTAGGAAATTTGTGTAACGTCACGTGATACAATGTCATAATGAAACAATCCTGCTTACAAAGTTTCTTAATTTACTAATTTGGGATCTTCAATAATAAATAATTTTAACTTTTCTCGTAAAGCAATAATATTTTTATTGTGATACTGATATGGATTTGTGCTACTGCGGATATTAAATTATTTTTAAATAAATTGGGTACTTTACCGGGTTTAGCTTTCTTCATCTTTTCTCAAATATCAAAAATACATAATTATATTTATTTGATAAAGACTTTTTAACGAAGGTATGGACGACCCTTCCGAAAACAAAAATAGTATAATTGAAATTGATACAAAATCTGAATTAGATCAAGTCAAACAAAGTATTATGCATAAAGACGAAATAAATACCGATTATGAAAATGATGATATCACTATGAAAAAGGAAGATTATCAAATTGTACTTTGTCAAGATGGAAAATTTGCTGCTACATTCGATACAGGTATAAAAAACACATGAATTTCATTATTAGTAAATAATTATGCGACTATGAACACATATTGATAAATTTTTTTTTTACCTTTTTTTTTTTAAAAAAAAAAAAATTAATTAGCAACCCATCAGATCAAAATATTACGGAATACTGATCATCGTCCATTTTTATTCAATAAGAAAAAGAATTTCAGAAATGAGAATGAATCTAGAGGATCCGTCAAAATTGATAAAACAATCGCTTATTTTAATATAAATGAAGATTTTACTATTAACTTTTGTAATACAAAATACAACGACGGTAACTCTTCAGTCAGTGATGAAAAAACAACAAAAAATGATAAATTTAAATGGGCTTTTGATATATCAAATATGTACAAGAATAATGACAAACATTTTATTCTCGTCGCCATATCTCGCATAAACATTGATGAGGATATGAAAGGAAACATTGAGCAGAAAAAGGATGAAAATGGAAAATCTGATTATGAAAGAGAACAACTTAGCAAAAAGATATTTAAATGTCCTCCTCCACCTAACGAAAATGAAAATATAATGGATATATCACCGGTATTCAGAAGTGATAACACAACAGATGAGAGTAAAAAGGGAATCGCTATTTACCATATTGAGCTAACAAAAAATCAAAAAGAAGAGAATGAAATAGATGAAAAGGAAAATGAGGAAGAAAATGGAATTTATGCTCTTAGCACTGTGACTTGTTATTATTCTAATAAAATTTCAGGAATATGTAAATTTATAGAAGTTTCAAGTGAAGAAGATTCAAGTGAAGATGATTCAAGTGAATACGATTCACATAATTCTGAATTAAGAAGGCTTATAATATTGAATTTCCGTGGAATATATAATATTGAATTTGGGAATCATTTTTATTTTTTTGAATTGAATGAAAAATTTGAATATCCACAAAATATTAGACGTGAATTAAATAATCGGTATACATTTGCTGAATTTGTGGATTGTATGAATAGGCTTTTATCGTGTATTTACGATAAATATTTTTTGGTTACAAAATATATAAATAGCACGCAAACTCTTGAAGGTAATTATTTATTTATCTCGTCGTAATAATCTTAAAAATATATTAATATGATAATTTTTTTAGTTTATGATCTGGCAAAAATGGAACATGAAATTGATGCAATGCTTGTTGGAAACATCGTAAATGAATATAATCATTATTTTTTTGTAGTTAGTGGGTTACTACTTTGTTTTACTCAAGTTAATACTATTAAGTAAGTTATATGATTTACTTAATAATTTATTAATGTTAAAATTTAATTTCATATTTTTAATTTGAATTTATTAGATTGTTTTATATGGAGAATGGGTTACAAGTTGCATCAAAAAAATTTGATGAAATAAAAATAATATATTTATTAGAATTTTTTGATAATGATGAAAAGCTATTTATTATAGGAGAATGTCCGGAAGAAAGGATTAAAATTATAATTTGGGATCTATTTGATACCGGAAAACATGAATTAATAGAGTTAGATGATTTTCCAATCACTAAAGTTAATGTAGACGATATTTACACTCATTTGGCCATAACTTCGGGAAATATTTTACAAATCGATAATAACGGAAATGTTTCATCGGTCCTTAAAAAAGTCGACAAGGAAATCGGAAAGAAGAAATTAGATAAAGTCGCAGGTTCAAATATAAACTTAAAAAAAGTTTCTGGAAAAGGACCAAATGGAAAAGAGGATAAAAATCATACTATATATTATGATGAAAATATAAATTTCAAGCAAATAGTTATTGACGGAGAACCATGGGTACCAGGTGGTTATGAAAGAAATTCTTATTGTCTTTATTATAATGAAAAAGGAACAGAGACAGAAACTTTGCAGCTTATTGTTGGTAGATCAACTGTTCAAATTTGGCATCAAATAAATGATGATAGTAAAAACAAAGATGAACTCCCTAACAAAGGGGAAGCATTTCTTGAATATATATGGTCAAATCGTATTCCGGTAAAGCTAGAAGGAGAAAAAACGAGATTAATAATTGAAGAGTTCGAATATAAATATGGGACGAATGATGGATCAAATAGTAAAATAAATGATTTTTATTTAAAGGTTTATTGGTATGATGATGAAATAAATACAGAAAAACGTGAAAAAGTAATTAAAAGAAAAGATATTGAAAAATTCCATGTAGTAAGACACGCTTGCAAAGCATTAGGACATATAAGAAAGCGTTGTAAAAGTAAAAATGATGTAGATAATTATAAAGTAAGTTAAATAAAAAGAGTTTATTTATTTATTTATTTTTTTAGATATAATGATACTAATATTATTAACACTTCTTTATAATTAAAAAGTATGAGAAGATGATTAACTATATCGAACATATGGTCTGGAGATTTGCTAAACATGAGCCAGAAAATTTCAAATTGTTAGATGTTCGATATAATCTTATGAAAAGTTTAATACTTGGTGATTGCGATCGTTTAATAAAATTTATATTATTTGGATACGAAGAAACTGCCAAAAGTAAAATTGATTACAGACATGTACCAAGTAATAAATTATGGCCAGGAAAAAAGTTTTTAAAGAATGATGACCTTGACTTTGGCAAAAGAGAAGATGAGCTAAAAATGCCAGAAAATAATATGGAACTAGTAATTTATTATTGTAGAGGTAAATCTAACTTTATGATGCAATATTATTGATTACAATCAAAATAACATTATTTTATTTATAGGCCGTAATCCTAAAGATGCGATTATTGTTGCATATCTTTTGGAATATTATTCTAGGAATCCAACGAATTGCGTGGGTTGGATGTGTACAGTTTCTAAAGCAGTTCCTTTATTATTTAAATATAATTATGGTTCGTTCTTTTTTTAAATTCTAATTTTATTTTCATCCAAAAAGTTTGAAATTTATATTTTTTTGCATAAAACTTAGATGATTTTGCCAGAAAGTTATTTATCAGATGTTTTGCAGATCAAGGTTTCGTGGATCAAGATCCTGACAAAATGATTCCGAAAGAATACTTAGAAAGTCACAATAATGATACCGAATTTAGAGCTTTGATACCTATAGTCAAGTTAAAGTCTGATAAGTCTGATAAACCTAAATGGTACGATAATTGGATTTGGAACAAGTTTAAATGTTTCAAAAATAATTTCGAAAAATATAGAAACTTCGAAAAATCATCATTAGCTTTACGATTAGTTCCATTTCCCGATTTTACTATGAACAGCATTAAAAAACAACAAAAAAAACATAACTTTTTTGATAACAATATAAATCATTTTTTGTCTATACTTATACCACGACAGCACCAAATCAAGCGAAATGAATGGAATAAGTTGAGTCCTTTTTCTAGGATGGTTCTATATAATACTAATGATGATATTTATGACAATCCAGCAATTGAAGCAGTTGTCAATTTTCATTGGCAGAAAACAAAATATTTCTTGTATTTTCTCTGCCTTCGTTTTCTCATTTTTGCCATTTGTTTTGTGTTAATTATTTGGGCATATTTGAATCGTGGTTTTATTGCAAATGGAAATTTTTTATTAGTTTTAATTATTGTATTTTATTATTTGGCAACTTATTTAATTCTTAATGAAGTGAAGCAGTTTCTTTATCATGGATTTAACAAATATTTTATTAATTTATTTAACATTTTCGATATATCTTCTATTATACTTTCTGTATCAGTAATGTCAATAATACTTAATGATTTTCAACTTTCTGATGGTTTTGAAAAAGTTGAGATATCTGATGCTAGTTTAGTTACGAAGATATCATTCTCGGTTTTTTTTCTTTGGATTGAATTGGTAACCTTGATCTGTATGTGATCATTTAAGCTTTTACATAAGAACAATTAATTAACTAATTTTAATAATTTTAGATTCTCTATCTTCGACTAATACCAGGTAAAAATACAAATTAATATAAAAAAATGTTACTATTTTATTACATCATTATATTATTGATTAACCTATTCTTTCTACTTGCTAGTTATTGGAATTTATATATATCATGTTGTAATTGTTTTCAAAACCATATTTCCATTCTTTTTGTTTATTTTAATTGTGATATTCGCATTTGCACACACAATGTATTTAAATATTTTCTCATTATTTTCTAATTTATTGATTTCTTTTCAGATTTCAATAATTTCTAATTTATTTTTCTTTATTTTATAATATATATAGGTTCATTCTACTTAGAGATCCTAAATACATAAAATTTACAGAATCTACATATAGTGGGGTTGCTACAAATTCATCAACAAATGAGACACTTAATATTGATCTTAAATCTGATTTTGATCCCAAATCTAGTGATGATAATCCATTTTCAACTTTTTATACAGCAATGGAAGCCGCATATTTTTGGATTAGTGGTAATTGGGCTGAAAAAGATAATTTTATTAATTGGGCTGTTGATGTATTCACTTTTATTGGCAGCATATTTCTTGTAATCGTTATACAAAACGTGATGATTGCTTATATAAGGTAACCTTATTTATTTAACAATTTATTAAATACTTCTAATTAGAAATTCTCTTTAACTGCTTACCATTTTTTTAGTAATGTATATGAAGGCGTCGTAGCTAAAAGTAGACAAATTTCATTAAAATTTCAGGCAAATTTTATAGCAGATTATGAAGCATTACATCTTATTCATTTTTCAAAATCTGAACCTGAATCAAAACATATTTATTACTTTAGTCAAGTTAATAATTTTGAAAAATGGTATAATACAAGAAGTGATAATGATAAGGGACCTATCTATAAAAATTTTGAAATCAAATCTTTATTTACGATAAACAGTATTTTTAAAGAAAAGGATTATGACAAGTACTCGCTTTTAACATATGATGATAATATTAAAATGATGATTGAAGATCTTATAAATATAGGGAATGACGCGATTGTTGATTTTGAATATTTGATTGAAAGATTTAAAGATAAAAATTTAATTGAAGAAATTGGAGACATTAAAGATAAAAAAATTGATTTAAAAGCTAAAGTTGAAAAATTACATTATAAATTAGAAGAATTGAAGAAATAACTTTTGTAAATTTTGTTGTAAGTTTAAATTCTGTAATATATATATATATTTTTTTATTAGTTCTATTAGTTCTTTAACTTCTTTTTTTATATTTATTTGTTTCATATAAAATTAATTATATTTTGATTATAGTTTATGCTTTTTATTCATCCGGTTTCATAATTATTTTAAAAAGTTATTATTCAAACCTTATTTTTTTTTAACAAATCAATATTTACCAGAAATCATTGGAAAAAAAAACTTTGATAATTTAGGTTACTGCTAACAAAAATGGTATATATTGGAATAACAAAAGAGCAATCAAATAAATTATAAATCTTCTGAAAGAGAAATCTTCTTTCGCACAATATAGTTGCAGTATTAGATGATTAATATACTGTAAATGAAATTTAAGAATTAGCCCAGAGTATTGAAGTTAATAATAAAGCAAAAAAAAATTATATAAATTGCTGTTAAAAAAGGAAGTACTATTAAAATTAATCATGAACTTTATTTTATGACAGTATAGAAAAAGTTTTAAATCAAGCAATTGTTTGTTTACCAAGTAATATATACAGAACCTTACAGGTAGTAACATGTAACGCTAAATACATGATGCTTTATATTGAGTTTGTTTTAATTATAATGCAAAAACAAATTGTAATTTATAATAGTTAAAATATTATTATGTATGATTTTATCACTTTATAATGACCTTTTATTTTTTTTAACTATAGTGTATATGTGTATTAGAAATCTATTATTAAACTCAATAATTCACAAAGATTTTAAATGTAAATTATTTTCTTATTTAATTCCAAATTTATTTTTATACTCTTTAGAACACTTTATTTTTGTGTGGTGATATTTTATAAGGAATTAGATTTTAAAGATTGCTTGTATAGTTTAAAAAGAATTAAAGAGAAATAGACCACGTAATATATGACGTATACAATTGTATCCTACTTCAAGTCCTACAACAAAAGATAATTTTCCTAAAAAAAAAAAGAAGAAAAAAATTATAATTAAATTTATTGAGATCCGAAAAACGCTTTATTGATATTCTCAAAATATTTTCAAATTCAAAAAGAATTCCTTATTTAAAAAAATAAAATCAGTAAATATTAAATAAATGACGTCAAATATATTTATTGACATTCCTGAAAGAATATTTCTCTCGATTTACAGAAAGTTTTGAAAATTTTTTTTGTAAAAAAGAAATCGGGAGAAAATCTGCGGATTGCAATACATAATGATCGGATACACTCCCGCGCAAAAAGTTTAGGACCACCCAGTAAATTGTAGAAAAAATGACTTTCTAATTACAAACTGATTTCAAAAAGGTTGGGACACTTAACAAATTTTAAAGAACTCAGAAATATTTGGTAAAGCTCGATATAAGATAAAAATTATACGCTAGTTTTGGAGTAATATTTCGAGAATGGTGGTATAATTTTATCTTTTTTGAGCTTTACAGAATATTTCCGAGTTCTTTAAAATTTGCTAAGTATCCCGTACATTATGAAATCAGCAGTAATCAATATTTTAATAACTTATAAGCCGTAAAAAATTATGTATAATTACTTTAATAAATAAAGAATTTATTTATTTATTTATTTATTTTATGTAAAGTCGGAAGAACTATTCTAAGAGAGCATTTATTAATAAATAAAGAAGAATTTGTCGGCAATTTAACATTTAATATTTCGCGTAGTCACGTGATATTGTTTATATCACGTGATTTATCGAGAGAAAAAAAAAAAAATTAAAAAAAAAGAAATTTTTTTTAAAAAAAATTACAAATATAAAAGGAAAACTAAACTCAATATCTAATAAACCTAGCATTAGCTATTTTTAAATTTAATTTAACCTATTTTTAAGTCAGTCTATTTATATTAAGCCTAAAAAATAATTATGGAAAATATTATTACTAATAATAATAAGAAGAATCGGGAAAAAAAGGCAATTACCGTGGTGCCACAGTGTCAATCCGATCACAGATGGTTTAAGAATGTGGTTTTGGAAAAAAAAAAAAAAAAAAAAGGGAACTGAAAGAATTCAATTCGGTTCGAATGATTAAAATTTAAAATTTTATTATTAACCGGAATTGGATTAGATGTAACAATATGACTTGGGTCTTAGCTATAAAGAATACAGATCAGCAATTCAAAATTAATTTATACAGGTTAATCTAAACGTAACGGTTACACACCAATTTTTTTAGTATGATGTTTAGAAAATTTTATGAAAATCTTAGTAATAGAAAAAAAGGATAGATGAAGAGTAAATGTTGGCGATTGGAAAATTTTTAAAGGAAGAAGATTTTTAGAATTAATGAAGAAAGAAAATTTTGAAACATGAAATAGATGTTATAGATAAAGCGTTAACGATCAACGAATTCAATTTATATTGGAAATATGCATTGATAACTGGTGATTTAAAGAAGTGTACGCAAGTTATTTGGAAAAATGAACTTCTCAATAGTCGAAAGATAGAAGATTTTTTTATTTTAATTTTAAAAATGAATTCGATTGGGTTAAGACGCTTAACTTTATTAGTAATAAAAATAAATTTATTTTTTGGCAGTGTAACGATGAAGATACAAAGGAGAGATCATACAAAATTAAAAACTTTTTGAAAGAATTAAAGAATTACCAACTTATGGAGTTTTATATTAGTGAAATAGCAAATGAAATGTGTCCAAGATGCAATAATGAGATCGAAATTGGTACCATGTTTGGAAGTGCGAAAGAAATGAAGTTAGCTTAGAAGAAATATTATATGAAGCAATAGCTGAGTATGAAGAAATATTAATATCAGATAATAAAAAAGAAGAAGTGGAAATATTACGAGATATTAATATAAATTTATGAAATAATGTTAACCCAATCAGATATTTCATTAGGGTATAATAGAATATGGAACTTTTGCGAGGTGTATATAATAGAAAGTTTGATGAGATATCGAAGAAAAAAGAATATAAGAATTTGATAGAAAATTTATGTAGCTTTTGTTATGGTAAATATAGAAAGAGAATTTGGTTTAAACGATGTGATGATATGGCAGAGATAGAGATTTAGATCGTAAAGATAAAAGAAAAAGGAAAAAAAGAATAGAGGAGGGCGATAGTGGTAATAATAAAAATTAAGAAAAATTGAAAAAACAAATGAAAATAGTTTAAACGAAAAAAATATAGAAAAATTAGTAAAATTAGTGACGAGAAATAGTTTACAGTATTAAATGATGTAAAGAATGGTAAATCTTTTAAGAACACTTGGGGAACGAAGGTTAAAATATATATTTAAATTTTATAATTTAGTTTACTATAATTGATTATATAGTTACATATTTAGATGATGGTATTTAGATAGAGGATTATATAATTTATTTGTATAATTTTTTAGGTGTTTGTGTAATTATGTAAAATTTTAATAATCATAATAATTAATAAACGCGTTACGCAGGAGAGCTTGGGATGGTGTACAAAATGTACTCCTGATTTACTCGCTCCTTTTATTAGTTTGTTTATGGAACAAAGAATTAACAATGGCAATCTAACTATTGTCTTTTACAAATCTTTGTATGAAACATGCGTCTTGAATTATTGTACTATTTGGAATAGGTTTAACGAAGAACAATTAAAGGATATAAAACAAATGATATATACACCGGAATTTATACACCGGAAATTAATGTATACATCAGGGTCATGGGGTGTAAATCTTAATATTTTAAGTAACGATTGGCCTTTAAAAAATGATTGACAATAACATTTTAGGATAATAATCATTTAGATTTGTGGATTTTGAATTCCTTATAAAATAAGCCCTTAGAACTAAAAAAATCATATACAGGAAGTATCATTATATTATAAGAAAAAAAATATATTTTTCTATTCTTTTTTTTTTTAACAAAAAAAACAAATTCAAAAATAAACTAAGTCATAAAACCCTAGTTAAAAATATGGAGGACTCTCCCAATTCTGATCTTAATTGGTATGAAACTCTCAATGGTAAAACCGGCATCTTTGCAATAGCGGTGGTCATAATTTTTGTATCAATTATAATTATTACATTCATTGTACGAATCATTCAATTTCCTCACCTCCGCCAACAAGTTATCAATTATTTAATTGCTGACAGCACTCGAAGTGCCCCTACAAGAATATTTAAGATGATCATTTTCTTGTTCCTTACTGCCGGATTGGTGGGAGTCATTTATTTCAATGTTTATAAAATGTTTCATTATCCTCCAAAGCTATCTATGAGTTTGGAAGAAGTTGATTCTTTTCCATCAATGCTTTTTTGCCCAACCATCAAAAACGCTAATTTCGAAATTATGGAAGCAGGATATTATGAAAGTATTCCTGATATTAATAAAAATAATCCACTTGTTGATTTAATTGGCTCGAAAGTTTTTCAGAAGGATAATCTAGGAGAAAATAGTGATTGTGAATTTTTTAATGGGACATTGTTCCCATCGTTCCTGAAGAAGAAGAATTTTGCTGGAGGATATTATGATCTAACCTTTAATTCTTCCGAAGTTATCATTTACATGGGTGATAACAACGTGGACTGGATAAACTTCATTCCTCAAGGAAAAAAATTCAGTGATGTTGAATCTATAACGTTACAAGCAGGGGGTAAAATTTTTCAATATACAGAAACTCGTATTTAAGTCATAAATGGAACCATATATCGAAATTTCCAGATGTCCTTTAAGGGTGATCTTCTCCCTACCACTGACGATACTGTTGGACTCTTAATCAACGCACCAGAACGTGTCACGACGATGATTTTAAGGCCATCCCTTACACTAGTTGAAATTTTTAGTAACATCGGTGGTTACCTTAGCCTCTGGGGAATTGTTGTCTTTCTTTTCGGTCGTGATAAGATGGACCCATTCGGATTTGTCTCACGCTTTGTATTCATAGAACAGGATAAAACGAAACTTCTTAAGGAATTGAAGAAAATGAAAGATGATAGAAGTGTAAAACAAAGTAAGATTGATATTATCACCGAAACAAGTAATCTCGACGATCAAATTGAATTAGAAAACCTGCTTGCGAAGTATTATGTTCACATGGATTTCTATAAACATGCTGTCAAGACATCCGACGTATAATAAATTATATATGGAGCATAATATATACGTGTCTATTTATTATAACAACATACTTTTTCAACATTTCTTTTTGTTATAAACAATATATGTAAATAAAGTGCATATCATAAAAAAATTATTGATAATGTGACAAACTTTAAACAGTTTAAGTCTCATTATTTTATTGTGTTATTTTGGGATCCGTACAAAATCCCGAATGTCAAAATCCCGAATGGTACGAAATCCCGAAATATTGGCCAGAATTAAGCATAATGCTGCCCGGTTCGGGATTTTCTGGATTTTGACATTCAGGATTTTGTACCAGACCCGTCATAAAGCACTACCTATATCAACAATCCTTACTATCAACGCCAATACTAACGCACATTTTATGGTTAGTGATAAAAATCGTGCTATCAATGCACCAGAGGTCTACTTCAGATGCACTCCGCCTCCGGATGACGCTTCAAATACTACAATGAGTGTCTCATATTTTTCCGCTGCTGAATCTGTGGACACCATCATTTACCCGCTAACACCGGCGCACGAACATTGTCCTGTGAAAATAAATATATAAAAACGAAAAAATTCGGACCTGCTAACCTTGCATCATTTTGTACCTGACAGTATTTACGTACAACAACACTGATCGAAGAAAAATACGTGTATCTATATCGGAGTGTAAGTAACCTACCTGGACTCTCTTTTTAGCTTTAATTAGTTTTTTTGTTCACTATTTGTAATGGTGCTATCTTACAGGGATTTCCTTGTTATCACCCCAGTCTACGTCTATATTGAATAAAATAAAATAATATAAAATAAAATAACGGGTCTGGTACACTTTATGATAGCCGTAGTTGTATTGAGGAATGGAACTGACGTCAAAACGACGTCGCACCTTATAATCGAACAAGTTGATGTTATACGCTTTCAGGTAGAATATGCGCGGGTCACCGGGAGTACCCGGTGGCAACACAGGTAAGGGTTTCTTGCATTTGTTGCGCTTTCTAATACGTCGGAGCCAGTTTTTTTCCCGTTTACGAATTTTCCAGCCCCAGCAGCGGTATGTAGCCCATTGTTAGGATTGATAAGTCGTGAACGCTGAGGCCTGAGGCCTGAGGTAGATGTTATAATTGTTTGAAGACCGGGTTAAATAACGACTGCGGCAGGTTGTTCACATTTCACATCGAAAATAAATTCCTAAATAAATCACGTGTTGACCGGAACTCAAATGTATCGTTCTTGACCTGTACGACGGGACTGACTTGACCCGCATAATATATTTTACAATAAGGAGGGTCAAGATGATGCCACCATGAGGGTCAAGTCCGATACTTTTGCGAATCGGACAAAAGTTTTAGCCCCCCTATCCTTTTGACTGTCGTTATTGGTTCGGTTACGTATCGCAAGAAGTTTTCTCGTTGTAATTGGCGTAATCTATTGAAGTATTTCGTGACAGTTTGTTTAGAAAATTGCCTATTTAGGGAGAAAACGAACTTGAGGTAGTAAGTCCCTAAAATGTAATTTAAATTGGGTTTGTTAGATGTTGATCGATAGACCTTTTGTGAGCTCCGTATCATCTTGAATTTGTTATTGATCGTCAGGGTAAATCTTTATTGTTTCGTAGTGCAAGCAGAAAGTACCTGCCTTTTTTGGTATCATGTTTCGTTCCACTGCCACGCATGTCACATGAGATGTATGGGTTGGTTCGGCAAGTATGATACGAACTATATATAGCTTTAGTTGCGTTGGTAGTTGTTGTGTCGTTGGCTTCAGTCATAGCGAACTTCGGGGTAGGCTCCGTGTGTCGTCAGGAGAAAGAAAAAAGGTGGTACTAGGTATAGACCGATGTGAAAATTGTTCCTAACTCTTTGTCACGAAGAACAACAATAGGTTCAAAATAACTAAAGTTTTTATTTTGTTATATATTTTTAAAGAAAAGAGTTTATTAGTGTGTGTAGTTGATAGTAGAAACACTTCCGGGTTTATATATAGCAACGAGCGTCTTTGTGATATAGGACATATACAGCTAACGTCGTTAAAATTTTGTACCAAATATCCGTGCTTTCTATTTTATTGTGTTATTCCTCGTATTTAAGATATTCTAATAGATTATGTTGGGACACATGAATCTATCTTAAGATGACTATCTGTTATTATTATCTGTTGGAATAATTCAAATGCGACGTATTGTAAGTTTTTCGTCAAGTGATATTTTATAGCTCCGAAAATTGTATGCTTACACAGATGTTAAGACTTTCACACACTTGAGATTAATCAAACTGTTGAGTAAATTCCAAATTAAAATATTAAATAGATTGATTATCTCGAATACCTTTACCTATTTATATTTATTGAGGTTTGAGACATAGGACGGTATGGTTGATTCCGAGGGGGCTGAAAATTACCATATAGTAACCGTTCGTTTCGTTGGATTTACTTTTTCTTTAAATAAAAGAGAATAAATTTATTTCTATTAAACATTCAAAATTATTAAAATTTGAATTGCAAATTAAATTTTTATGTAATAAATATTAATATATAAAATAAGTATCTGATATCTATAACAAAAATAATGTACAGTAAAGAACGATCAGTAATCATTTTTTAATGATATATTTGATTTTGTCTTTTATCTTTTGTTTGACAAATAAAAAAGAATTGCATAATAAAGAATAGTTAAAAAGTTGATATTTAAAATTTATGAATTCATTATTATATAAAATTACATTAAAAAAAAGAGAACCTTGGTACTTATTTATATACGGTGCTTCAATGATTGAATAAATATGAAATAACTTTAAAATATATTATCGATTGTTAATGGAATTTATTATTAGTAAAGATTACAAAATCATCTTGATGGTTTCAGCCTCAATAGGATATATGGTTAAGAATTTTTCAATAAAACTTATACAAAAGTCATCGCAAAGTCCTTTTTATTTGTGGCTTATGATTTGTACTTTGTGTTTATGTAACTATTTTAAATAGATTGAGTATGTTAACGGAACTTTTTTCCTTCGCCTTTCTATCAACATAAAATAATTTTATTTTTATTGATAAAGGTCTTTTTAATAAAGTTCTTTTTACGAAAACATGGGTGACTTTAAGATTATTGTAAATGACGATGTTGCAAACAAAAGAGAATATTCGAGTGATAAAGTATATTATAGAAAAGATGATATCACTAAGAACTAAGTTTATCAAATTGCAATTAGTGGTGAAGATAGAAGATTTGTTGTTACATTCAATACATATAAAAAATTAAATTTGTTCAATAATAAATTAGAAATCTTCGGATTAAAATACTAGAAAAATTAGAAAAGACTAATTATCGTCCATTTACATATAAGGCGAATCTAGTTTTTTATGAATCCTGGAATTGATAAAATAATCAGCTATTTTAAAACTAATGATGACTTTAATATTGTGAAGGCTTATGATACGAACTATGGCCTCCTTTATTGTATAGATGTACTTGTATTCTTACGTCTAAGCCATTAGGTTAACGTTGACGATATTTAATTAATAGGTATATATAAAAAAAAATAAAGACATACATCCCATAAATGATTCCTATCGACTCACGACTTTGAATAGAGGAAAAGGCTAGTCTAATTTCGAATTTAAGTAGAAAAAGATTAGTTTATTATCAGAAATTTTTTAGAGGTTAAACGTGATGAAAATAATTATTTTTAAAGAACAAAATGGTAGTACAAAAATATGATGAGATTAACTGAAATCATCGATAATACTATTGGAAATTTATACAAAGAAATTATTTAACAATATCCAATTATTGATGTAATATTTAAAAATGAAATTAAAAATTAAAGTTGGAATATAATGAAAATCGATTAACATTTATTGATTCAATTAAAGGAATTTTTCCTTTTGAAATTATGGAATTTTTAAATCTTTTTTGGTATTACGAAAAAGGAAGATATATAAAATTACGGTATATTTTTATTGCAGACGGTTTTTAAAGCAACTAGAATTATATAGTCAAATAGAAATAATCTTTTAGTTAAAAAGAAAAAGAAATTGGGTATTACGAAAAAAAAATGGATAGAGTAATAATTATAATAAAAATTATAGATATTAATAATAATCCTTATAAAGGAGCACAGTGATTATATCATAATATATATTTTCGTAAGATTTTATATTACAAGTGATCCAAATTATTCTTTTTTCTTATTATTTTCGTCTTTTGGTAGATTAGCTTTATTTTTTGGGGGTGTGACGTTAATATAACCTGGTTTATTGGGTTTTAGTTTAATTTTTTTTACTAGATATTAAGTTTAGATTTTTTATACAGTTTTCAATTATTCTTTTTGTATCAAACTAAGAGTTCGTATATAAAATCTTAATAAAGTTTTTGAATTTACCCAAAAAAAAAAAAAAGCAATGATAAACCTCTTATATTAGCCGCTTTTAGATTAATCATCTAATATATAATATTTAACTGTTGCATATCCCGAAACCTCATCGAGCCCTCAAATTTAAATGTTCGAATACCTAACACTATTATTGACATGATTTCTGAAAGAATATTGCTCCCGATTTACAAAAGATTAAAAAATTGGTTTGTAAAAAGAATCAGGAGAAAAAAACTTTTTTGATCTGACGAATTTATCTGCGGATCGCAATAACAAATTTATAAATCATCGTTGAGCCATTGATAATAAAAACACATAATGTGTTAAACAGTGATAAACGTTCATGTAGGCATGATGGCGTTATATTAAACTGAGTAGGACTTCTATATGGCTTATTTTTTGTAGGAAGGAAGGAAAAAAAAATATTTTAGTTCACATATAATATTGAGATATAATTTTTAGAATCGAAATCTTAAACGCTTTGTACGTAAATTCCATGTTTTTTGCTTATAAAATTTCATTAGTCATTTATCATTGTCAAAAATGTGCTTGAATGACAAGATATATTATATTTAATAATAGCCTTATTATTTTTATTAGTGTAATTGATAGTCCTATTTTCAAATATGTACTCCCTATAAAAAAATATTGTCCAAACATTGTTCGGTTTTTTGTTCGGAAAATCGGACATTTATTGGGCATTCATCATGATATTGTACGTTTTTATGTGGTTAAAAATTCTCAATCTCCGCATCTTGTATTAAATTGTAACAAATATTGTATAATATCGTGCGAGTATCGGGAAAATTGACCCCATTCCGAATATTTATCGGACAAACATTTTTTATAGGGACTGTATGTTACTAATTATCAATTTACTTATCTTCTTATATGTAGGCCACATAAAGATTTACTTGTAATTTTTTCTTTGTAGAAAAAAGAACATTATTACATTCATGCAAGCGATATTAGGATAGTTTACATAATGTACTCTGCGTTTTATATTCCATCTTTTTTCCGTAAAAGACTCATATTTCCGGTTGGTTCATTTTTACTGAGTTTTCCAGAAATAACGGATAAAAATTTTTCGCTCCTTTAGTTTGTTTATGAAACACAGAATTTGCAATAGTGAAATAAAATTATCTTCGGAATTCCACTCCGCAAAACTATGGCTCTTTGATATTGTACGACCAGTCTTTTGATAGAACTATATGTTAGTACTATATAAACATATCAAGATGCATACCCGAAACCTATCAAGATCGGTAATTTTGCTCCACAAATCTTGTATGACGCATACTTTATTATTGTAGTATTATTTGGCGGAGTAATTTTCTGAAGTATACATAAAAGGTTTAGGTTTGAGTTTTCGTACAACTAGCCAAAACAAATCATGAACATCTTTCCTTTTATAGATAATTCCTGGTAGAAGTCAATTACCTTTTTTGAATAATTACCGAAATTATCATAATCCCGGCCCTGAAAAAATGCGTACATCTAATGGTAAAATTTTTTTGGCTGTCTCTGAACTTTTACATATATTTCGGGTATTTTTAAAGCTTGTCAGAAATGCCATAAATTTTATAAGAAGCAAAAAGTTGAAGTGTTTCAAGAAAGTCAAGAAAGTGAAGCTGTGATTCTTTTATTTTTCCTCGGATTTTCCGAGTTTCATAAACGTATGTGGCAAAATTAGAACCAATCATACATTGACTTATTATTGAATTAATTTTCAGATCATTGCTATATAAGATGTTCGGAAAAATGGTGTGGATTCTACCTATAAAGATCGACATTGCTCGGTTACACAAAACCATAAATTTGTTTGTATCATATATGTCAAAATACAATTCGTATCAGAGAAACAATTAGAATAAAGAATCATTTTGTGGATTTTGAATTCCCTATAAAATAAGCTCTTAGAACTAAAAAAAATCGTCTATAGGGAAGTAGAACTATATTAAAATATTTTCCTATTCCTTTTTTTTTAAAAACAAAAAAAAAAAAAATAAAAGAAGAATATGAGTAAATATTTTACCAATTAAAATATGGACTCCTCCCGTTCTAGTCTTTATGATAATTATGATTTGTATGAGACTCTCAATGGTAAAACCGGCCTCTTTGCAATAGCGGTGGTCATGATTTTTGTAGCAATTATAATTATTACATTCATTGTACGAATCATTCAGTTTCCCCACCTCCGCCAACAAGTTACCAATTATTTCATTGCTGACAGCACTCGAAGCGCACCCACAAGAATACTTAAGATGATCATTTTCTTGTTCCTTATTGCCGGATTGGTAGGAGTAATTTATTTCAATGTTTATAAAATGTTTCATTATCCCCCAAAGTTATCTATGAGTTTAGAAGAAAATGATTCTTTTCCATCTATGCTTTTTTGCCCAAACGTAAAAAATGCTAGTTTTAACATTGTAGCTGCATCATATTATGAAAGTAATTCTGATGTTAATAAAAATAATCCACTTGTTGATTTAATTGGCTCGAAAGTTTTTCAGAAGGATAATCTAGGAGAAAATAGTGATTGTGAATTTTTTAATGGGACATTATTCCCATCGTTCTTGAAGAAGAAGAAGAATTTTGCTGGAGGAATTTATGCACTAGCCTTTAATTCTTCTGAAGTTATCATTTCTATGGGTGATAACAACGTGGACTGGATAAACTTTATTCTTCAAGGAAATAAATTCAGTGATGTTGAAACTATATCATTACAATCAGAGAGTAGTACTTTTCAATATACAGAAACTCATATTCAAGCCATAAATGGAACCATATATCGAAATTACCAGATGTCCTTTAAGGGTAATCTCCTTACCACCGATCCTAGTATTGTTGAACTCACGATCATCGCACCAGCACGTGTCACGACAATGATTTTAAGGCCACCACTTACTCTAGTTGAACTTTTTAGTAACATCGGTGGTTACCTCAGCCTCTGGGGAATTGTTGTCTTTCTTTTCGGTCGTGACAAGATGGACCCATTCGGATTTGTCTCACGCTTTGTATTCATAGAACAGGATAAAACGAAACTTCTTAAGGAATTAAAGAAAATGCAATATGATAAAAATATTAAGCAAAATATTGTTGCCGAAAAAAGTAATCTTGACGATCAAGTTGAATTAGAAAACCTGCTTGCGAAATATTATGTTCACATGGATTTCTATAAACATGCTGTCAAGACGTCTGACGTATAATAAATACCGTATAATAATAATTATTATTATATTCTTACTATCATTGTTAATTATCTGGATAATCCGGATCTAAGGCTCTGAGAATGAAAATCCGGATACCTAGTTTGGATGGTAAAATTCGGATATTCATAGGATATTCGGATATTCACTGAATTACTTAAAAATTTATTTATCCCAAACCTATTTTATAATTTAATTTAATAAAATTGCCATGATTGACCTAATAATTATATTATAATATATTGTCTTTTTTATCAATAGAAATTAAGAAGCTGAATTATTATTGTTATTTTCATCGCTATATTTTAACATTCATATTATCATCTATTATATTATGTTTTTGGCTAGACATCCTATTTTTTTTAAGCTTAGTTTTTTACGAAATAATCAATAAATATTTATTACCGTTAGAATTTATTACTAATAAATTTTATTACATCATATTTACATTATATCTTGGGATATCTGGATTATATTGGATATCCTACTAAAAAGTGAACGGATATATCCGATATTTACTGAATAAGTCATTAGGATCGTTCACCGGGTCTAAGCTCTACAGTATATATGTATACATGAAGATAAAGTGCATATTATTAATAATGTATATAAGTTTAGTTTCATTTTATTGTTTTATTTCTCGTATTTTGGGTATTTTAGTAGATTAATAAATTCCGTTTACGATGTTTATGATTAAATTGTTACGAGCTACATATATAACTGTGTCATGTGTCGTTAGATCACATGAGATTTTATATTTCTATTGCCATCTTTCTTAATTCAAATGTGACGTATTATAAATTTTTCGTCAAGTGATATTGTGTATTTACTGTTTTTGTCACGTGATGCTTACACAGATGTTAAGACTTTCAAAATGAGTTTGAGATATAAGGTAGTTCCAAATTGATTCGGGATTTGGTTGAGTCCTGGGAGGGCAGAAAGTTACTAGAAGCATTACCCTGTAATGTAGTGAATTTAGAAATTAATTTTAAATATTTATTTATAACAAGGATTTTATTAATTTGTTAAAGAAGTATTGAGATTGAAATTGCACCATTAGTTCAACCACCTTTGTCATGATGATGTAATAAAACGAGTTCAAGATTATTTCGTCAAAATTTACAGCTATTTTCCATAATTTTATATATTACAATCATCTGTAGACAAGCAATAAACAGAAGAAACATAAGAATTTTTTGTTTCTATGCTCAGCAATAATAATTATTAGCCAGTATTATTACCATGATATAATATTTTTCAAGTAAATAAATAATAAATACATATGAATCGTGAAGAACATACTGGCAATTTTAATTATAAAAACGTTAGTTAATTATTCATAATTTGAAATACTTCATATTCTTCCACCGAAGATCCACTAAATTCTCCAATCGATTCATAACACATTGTTATTGCATAAAATAAATTCATAACAACCAAATGCTGATCCGAAAATAGAGTCATTACATATGGGCGGGATATGGCATATTCTTCATACTTTGCTCGACTTAAAATATTTTCTTCGACATTTTTATATTTTTAAAAGAAAATATAAAACTATCTTTAGTAGAGCCATAACTACCATCAGATTTCCATATGATCGGATTATATCCTCCAAAAATTTCATCACTATTTTTCACTTGATAATCACAATCTCATGGAATTTACGAGGTGAAAATAGGACCCAGAAATATATATAAAAGGGTCAGGTTTGAGTTTGCGTATTTTGAACTAAAAAAATCATGAAAATCTTTCCTTTTTTAGATAATTTTTGATAATGCCGGTCAGAATTTATTTCCTATTATAGTAACCGACTGACATTATCATAATTCCGGCCCTGAAAAAATGCGTACAGCAAAAAATTTTTTCATCACCTGACCCCTATATATATATTTCTGGGTCCTGTGAAAATCCATCACGAGATCCACGAAGAATTAACTTGAATTCATACGGATTATTTATCCTTGTCAGTAATTTCTAATCTATTATTGAAATGTAATGATTTTTGAATCAATACTTTTGAATTAATTTCCTTAGTTATTATCTTTGACTCTGGCTTATTAGTATCTGATTAATGTTAATTAAATTTTCGCGTAAATCTTTTGGTATGATTTTTTTATATAGATAAACTTTGTTTAAAAATTCTTTATGATTTAAATTAAAGAATTTAATAAAAGGAATAAATTGTTGTAAAGTATTTATTTAAAGTATTAAAATTATCCTTTGAATAACTCGAAGAGTCTGAAGGAAGTCCAGGATTTTGAGCAATACCCCATTTAATAACGATTGAATTATAAATTTTTTCAGGTTCGTTGGATATTAATTCCGTACAAAAATTTTGTAATTTCAAAAAGAATCGTTCTCAAAGCTTGTTTTGTATATTAAATTAAAATTTTGTTCCATCCAATTTTTTTTATTTTCAATTAAAAATAATTGTAAATGAGCGACTAATTTTTGAAGTCTAAGTTCATTTGCAGCAATCAAGATTTTAATAATATCCGAAGTATCATATTCCTCTAAAGAAAGTCTTCTTCCATAAATATATCTAAAATGAAAATATTTGAATATTTTCGTAAGAGTCATATATATATAAATATATACATTTTTTTTTATAAAAAAAAAACTGTTACAATATCGATATTTCCTACCTTAAGATCATTTGAAAAATTTCAGGTGTAATATTTGGTAATTTAATATGTACCAAGATTTCTTTTTATTAGAGTTAGTCGATAAAATTCTTTGCAAATAAGGAGAGCGATAATTTAAAATGACCATATGGGAACGAAAAATCTTTACATAAGGATCATTACCAACTTCAATAGTTACATCATAAAATTCATTATCTTCTAAAATTTCAAGTAGATTTTGAGATAATTTGGTAAAATTTTATCATCATACAATATAACCTACTTTTGATTTTCAAAGAAATGAAAGAAATGTAAGCACCGAATAATTAATGTATATTAGACCGGAAAATCTTTGGCCCGAGAAACATGAAACATCTGACTAGATCATGTGGTTTACTACTTTTGTGGTGATCATCTGTTAAAAAAAAAGAGCTAGCAAATTTAATTTGATATACGCTTTGATCGATTTTTTCCTGTTTCGAAAATTTTTTTATTCATTTATTTAGTAATGTTACCTTTCATATAATGGTTACGTAACTAGTTTCTGCATCTTTTCTATCTTTCTTGTATTTTTCTTTATTCTTTTTTTTCAACTTTTGTTCCATATTTTCTGTTTATACCTTTAATATATTCTGTTTCCTGTAGGCTCGGGCTGTAGTATTCCGAAAGGGTCGGGTTAACTGAGTTGACCCGGGATTTGATCTTTAATTGTATTGTAAAAATGAGTGAAGCTCTCTTGAAAAGTGAAATTCTTTAAGAAGAAACAACTTTTTGAAGAAAAGGAATTTACATCACACTTATTAGAAATTTATGGTTTTAAGGCTGGTTTGATACCCTATAAAAAATTTTATCCGTTATTTCTGTAAAAACTCCGTAAAAATGAGCCTTTCACGGATCCATTCATTGATAACGAAAATAATTCGATAAAATTCCGTGATATAAGGTTGTTAAAATTCCAGAAATATGAGCCTTTTACGGAAAAAAGATGGAATATAAAAAACGGATCAACTTTTCTTACAGGGATAGAATCAAGCGGACGCTTATGTGAACATCAGTTGTGTTCCCAAAAAGATAATGTGTTTGTAAGATTCAATCTCAAAAATAATACAATGCGAATTTGTAATCTTGATTGGTAGGTATAGGATATGAAAAGAAGGATCTAATGAGAGTCATAAATTTTAGAATCTTTAAATTTTACATTAAATATAATTATGATAATTATTGAAGTAGATTATTCTTACCATTTATTGAAACTTTGATCCATAACGAATACAATATGAAAAGCTGGATATTTATAACTTTAACATGTATTGTAAATATACGCCAAAAATTATTAATAAATATTGTCTTATATAATAAAAAATATGAAAATTTATCAAATTATATATTGTAAACAAGAAAATATTGGAGAGATTGATCAAAAAATCGTAATCAAATTTTGTAGTAATCATCATTTATGATACAACGATAATTCATAATAGTTATCTTTTTTATTACCATTATACTATATATAAAATATACTAATAATTTTTGTAATTTCTGGTATTTACCTTAAATATTTTATGTTATTATTTTTGCACATTGACTTCATAAGTCATTATTTTCCGGATTATACCAACTTGTGAAATTTATGATTTTTATCGATGGTTCTTTCCAACCTAAATTATTGTAAATTCCGGCGAAGGTAAATTGAGCCGGAAATTTTATTTAATTTGCATTTCAGGCCGGATTTACAAATTTACAATAATGCCTGTATCCAGTTGACACATTCTAAAAAAAGGAAAGATCCTACGCAATTGTTTCTACCATGTGATAGAATTTTCGTGATTCTATGAAATTTATGAAATTTTCAAAAAAAAATTTACTAGAAATTGCTAGCTGAAATTTAATATAAATATTAAATATATCCTGAATCCAGGCATTTCAAGACACCAATTTTATCAAAGATACAAATAACAATAATTATAAATCTTTTTAAAATCAACTTTCAAATTTAAATAGTACAAAATGTCTAATAATGTCTCGCAATTATTAATCATATCTTCGATGATTTTATTAAAGATTTGAACGTAGCCAGACGTGGTGGTACTCGTTCTGGTCGTGGAAATAATATTTATTTTGTTTCTTTAATAGACGTTCACGAAAATGATAAAGAATTTCTCGTCAATGCAGAATTACCAGACGTATTTCTTTCTTACGTCGTATTAATTTCGTATATCTGATATATTAACATTATAATTTTGTAGGGATTGAATAAAGATCAAATTAACATTGATGTTCGTGACAACGTTCTTATAATTTCTGGTGAAACCAAAAAAGACAAAAAATATGGAAAAGGAGTAACTCTTATTCAATAACATTCCTATGGTTCTTTCACTCGTAGTATTTTATTACCACCAAATGTAAAAGCAGAAGATATCACGGCTAAATTTGAGAATGGACTTCTTGAATTGAAACTTCCAAAGAGTGCTCCTACTGGAAGGAAAATTACTATAGAATAATTGTTACATATATTTAGCACTTTCTTTTAGCTCTTAAATAATATTCTTTTAATTTTCCTGTATATATTTATTCTAAAAAAATTCTAAGTTCATCCATTCTTTTATTAATTTATAAATAAAAGGCTTTGAATTTTCTAATCAAAAATCGTTAAGCTCAATAATACCATAAACGCTTATTACTAATCCTTTTTAACCAAATAAAAGTATCATCATCATTTTACCACATTAACCGGCTTGTCATTATTCCTTTGTTATCTAAGATGAGTTTCAATGAGTATTTTAAGTCGTATAGTTCTTATTGTGAAAAATATCAAAAAAAAATAACAATAATTGCAAAAGGTTATGTTAATAACAGCACAGGGGCGTTCGAAACCCGACCAAGATAGCTTGTAACCTTGTATATATTCTTATAACTTCTGAAATATATTTTAATCGTACTTAACAAAGATTTGCTAGATTTGTCCCTTTTCTAATGCGCATTATATACTACGGCAATATTTTTATATAGGGGTCAATGCAATTAATTGATATTCATTCTTTTTTCAAATTTCTAGTTATCACCAGTGTTGGAAATTTAGATTATTTTATAAGCGCAGAGAATTATTAATCACATAAAACAAGAATTATTTTTAATTCTTAACTTCTTATGAGCTTTAAAATAAGTATATCTTATTCATTGACCAATAAAATTAATAATATAAACGTATATAAAGAACGTGACACGCATGTCGTATATAGACGCTTCCCTTCAGTAAATACCTGATATATCGTGATGTTTTAAGAAAACCTATAAATTACAAAAGATTTTTTCATATCAGAGGAGCAATTTATTATAAGTTAAAGTTAAACATTCGACTTTTGATTATTTTTTAGATATTCATCCTTAAAAAGAAATATTATGAATATTTTTTATATTACAATTTTTAACATATAAATTTAGTTTATCAATTTAACTTTCTTCTATCAATCCTATGTACATTAAAATCCAAATTTATAATTAAATTTGTCTAATATATTTTAATGGTATAAATTTCTGATCATCGTTAGTGATCCTGCGTCTTTAGACAAATAATAATTTTTGTTTTTTTTTTTAAAAAAAATCCGACTTGGAAACTGGAATCCTAGGTGATGAAAATGAAATTCGAAACATTAAAGAAAAAAACTATTTTACTATTTTTTTCCTGTTTTGTAGGGAAATTGGTTCCGACTTGGAAAACCAAAATCCTAAGTTTCAAAAATAGGAATTCGAAACTTTTAAAGAAACAAATTTTTTTAACCTTTTTTTTCCTTTATTGTAGGAAAATCGGTTCTAACGTGAATGCCAGATTCCCAAGTGAGTATCGAAAAAAAAAAAATTTGAAAATTCATTAAAAAAAGATTTTATTAACCTTTTTACCTTTTTTATTTTTTTTTTTGTTGTACTCCCATCTTCAGAACCCATGTGAAAAGACGTTAATTACAGTAACGCCTTCTTTCATTTTGTAGGTTTCCTTTGACTTAATTATCTTAATTATCAGAATTCTCGGTATGATAACTGATTTTTATGTTTTTCAAGTTGTGTGAAATTAGTAGGTTGAAGGTAAGTTTTTTGGGGAAAAATAATTTTGAAATGATATTTCTAGACGGATTGGATGGTGAGTTTCAAAATTTTGAAACTAAATTTTTTTAAAGGAAATATTAATATTTACTTTTTTCTTCATTTATAGGAAATGGATTCCTGATTTTTGGGTGGATTGGATGGTAATTTTTGATTTTAGAAACTTAATTTTTTTTAGCTATTTTTTTATTAATGAAATACTACTAACATTTTATTTTATTTTTATCTTACAGAAGCCTGAAGAATTACGGTGATTTCAAGTAATACAATACTGAGCATTATGAAGGAAATCGATGTTATATTTTAAATGAATTTTATTATAATGCGGTATAGGATAAGAATAGATCTAAACTTAGAATTGGAAAGATTAGATTTTACAAGAGTTGATATGGAAAATAATATTATTAAAAATTATATAGTATTTTAAATTTTTTGATAGATGACAAAATTTAATCATAATAATGATATATTAATTAATAAATTGATTTATTATATTTCCAACATATTTTTGATATATAATGAAAGCATTCCTATTAGATTTTCAAACTATTTTTGATTGCTGTTATCGAGTTACAAAGAAATAGTATGCAATATGATGATCATATTTTAAATGCATGTTTCAGGTTTCCATGCAGATCATATACAAATATGACACTTCTTATTATCTGTAATACAGGCAACACGATAAGGTTTTTATTACATTTAGTTTCGGCCATTTTGCCCATTTCACATCTCACCTATTTCCCTATTTTCGTCATATCGTATATTATATTTTGATTTTTCCTTTATATCTAGTAATGTGGTGACTTATTTTAAGGTTTCGCGAAACCTTTTAGTATTGTTTGCGTCATTAATCTATACTTTATCGCTCGTAATAAACAAAAAATTTTTTTTGTCTTGTGGCATATTACCAAATGAATGTGTTTAATTTGTTATTTAAACATATTAAATGTACTTGTGACATTTTTAATCAAATGTCTCGATATTCTATATTCTTTTTTGTTTTTTTTTCCACAATTAATTATTACTAGTCCTTATACACTTGTTGAACGTGATCGTCACACCGCAAGTTATATGGACAATAAAATTTATTTTCTTGGTGGATCTACAGAACAATATCCTATCGGTACCAATTATTTTTTTTATTTAGACGGTTCAATACCTTTTAATTTGGATTCTACTTTACCAATATATGATTTAAGCAACGATGCTCGTTATATTCATCCTCATAGTTATGGGGTATCAACTATTTGTGAGATACGATCTTTCAAATTTGTGGAGTTTCTGAAGATAATTTTTATTATAGATTTATTAATAACAAAGAGTGGGCTCAGGATTCATCAATATTCAGTAGTGGTGTTCAATGGTTATCAGTTGTCTGTAATAAAAATGGATCATATATATATACATATGGTCGTTATGATAATGCTAATAAATATGTGATGACTATTGAAGACACTACCCGGAATTCAGTATTGTCTAATTTGAATATAACGAATTATCTTGCTCCAGCAATCTTATTACCAGATGGAAGAATTGCTTATATTGGTGAAATATTAAGTGAACATTTGTGGGTTTATGTACGACTATTTTGATTAATTTTTATCATTATTAGATATGTAATGATTTTAATTGACCGTATGTTTATTATATTAATTAACACAGTTTCGGAATATTTATATATATAATACCAATGATGGAACATGGAGAAATATGGCAAATAATTTTGTAAAGGAGAAGGGTATTTATGTCAATTTTTTATTTTCTGTTACTTAATGCACAAAATTTGTCACAACACAACTATTCATAGAGTACAAGTGGAATTGAACCATCACCTAGACATTCACACACAGCGGTCTTAAATATATATTTAATCTACTAATATATGTATTTTTTAAAATTGATAAAGTATTTTTAATAAAATGGGTTAAATAATTTTCTAGCACAAGATGGCCTTATTATTATTTATGGAGGAATGAACAATATCAATTTGGGACCTTCTCCTGATCAAATATTAGTTTTAGATACCAAAGTAGACCCTTTTACATGGTCCACTCCTAATATCGATCCTGCACCTAGCTCTACACCATATGGTGGACATACGGCTACTCTTGTTGGAAATTATATGATTATTGCATTTGGTAAGAATGTTATACTGATGAAATCTTGCTTTTACTTGAATTAAGTTTATTTAATTTTTCTTTAAATCATTATATTATTTAGGATTTTACCGTAATGCTACTCGTGACTTTATTTATAGTAATCAAATTCATATGATTGATGTGAGCGAAAAAAATAATTACAAGTGGGTTAAAAATTTTATTCCAACTAAATCAGCAATAATAGGTGGAACATCGGGTGGTACTGAAACTACTTCAAATAATACAAAAACAGCCCATTCAACTAAATCACCTGGAGCAGCTCATGCAGCAATAATAGGTGGAACAACTGGTGGTATTGCAACTGATATCTTTTAGTTACTTATTATATCATAGAAAGAGAACTGTCATATATGCTCCCCAAGCTAAACATGCAATTAACTGTTAAGTTTTATAGAGTGTTAGATGAGCGATAAAATACACTGATATATAACATGATTACATGAACATACTATATATGACCAGACATTTTAACCTTTTTTAATCTGTAATAGTAATTTTTATTTTAAAATTGATGTGTGGTGACTTCGTCACCACCAGATAGATTGTTCAAAACATGTGATTAGGTTTTTGTTCATGATTATTTTACTATATAAAAAAAATTGTACAACTGAATAAAATTTTGTCACTATAAAGTATATCTTTTGTACTTGCTATAACAGATACTAGCATGATTGTAGTTATTTTATTATACCTGCTTAATATTAATTTTAGTATCAGTATTCATATTTATTTAATTAAGAAATTGTAGGAATCTTAAATAATAGCAAATTTTTTATTTATAAAATTGATAAAATTTTCACAAATGTAAAGCTACTGGTAGAAACATTCGCCAAAATCTGGTTAAAAACTGATTATTCAAATCGTATTAGTCAGTAATGAATACAGTGACATTAGTTTATTCAAAACTATCATACTATCCAATTGATTAAAAATGAGACATTTACTAAATTGCCATTTCAAAGCCACGAGAATAAACTTAAAATGATAGAAAAAGAGAAAAAATAATATTGTTTAACAGATGATTGTTACAATGTTATTTACCAGTGTTGTTTTGTTTAGATCAGTTCCTTTTATTTTCAAAGTCACAAGGTCAAACCTAAAATGGTAAATCAATTTTCAATTTAGTATAGATTATTTAGATTTGTAAACTAATCAAAACATCAGAACACTATTATAGTTTAAAATTAAATTAGTTAATTAGAAAAAAATTGTTTAAAATAAAATTGGTTAATTAGAAAAAATTGGCAAAAAAACAAATTAGTCATCGGTAAATATGCCGATCTGTAAAATTTTCCAAATCAGCCGCAGTTCTCATTAGTCACCAGCTGATCTGCCATTCTTTTTTTTTTATTTGAATAACTTTAATTCGTAAAAAAATTACAGGCCTCTTCAGATTTAGTATTTGAATCTGAATCTGAATCTGAATCTGATATGATTTTTTTGGAAAAAGGAAATTGTTTATTACACTAGTAAAGACTAAAGATGATAAACATATATAAAATTTCATTTTTAAGGTAACACAAATCTCTTGGCGGACCATCCTTAATTATATTATGTTAAATAGTGTATTTTTTAAAATCCAATAATATTTATTCTGTTTTTTAATTTAATAAAATTGAATACAAAATGAATAATATATAATAGTTCTCTTAATAGATATACAGTAAATATAAATTATGAATATACATTATACATATCCCTAATACATCTTTAATGTTATATGATTCAAATTCCTTCAATTCATCTGTCATAGTAAACAACTCTTTTTTATCCTGATGTGTACTATTTTTACTTGTTTGGGTTGCTATATATTTTTCAATAGCTAAATATTCAGCCCTTTTTCTTTCATAAATATTCCTTTATATATTGATGGTAAAATATCAACAAATAAATCATTAATTTTAATAATAATTCCTAATAAAAATGTGTTAAATTTTTTAAAAATACTTCCCAAATATTTTTTCTAATCTGAGTACTAATATGTAAATTCAAAATATTATAACTTACAAGGAAGAACATGTACTAATCTTAAAAACATTTCTATCATAGATTCATTTGTTTCATGACAAATAGAAACATATATGGAAAAATAATTAAGGCTTTGTCTGAAAATTATGACTGAATTTAATTCAATATGAGCTTTCTGAATAATATACGTATATATATCAAAAAATTTAATCCCTATAAAAAAGGAATGTCAGAAAACATACATAAAATAAACATAAAATGTACATTATACATAAAATGTCTATAGAATGTCCATAGATTACATAAAGGGGACTCATACTTTTTTGTACATTTTATATACAGTGAGCCCATTTTGTACATTTTTTATTATTTTATGGACATTCTATAGACATTTTATGTATATTGTATATTTTACGTATATATTCTAAACATTCCTTTTTTATAGGAAATTCTCTTACAATAATTATTAATACTCTGTATTGTGTTGCACCATTTACATCTGAGGCAAATTTAATATTTTCTAAATATTCCCCAAATTTTTGAAATAATAATTGCATTAATTCAATTGGTAAATTTCTATTTTCATCACTATTAAACTAATAAAGATATTAATTTAAATGGTTTATTAAGATCAATGATTTGTTGAATAAAATTAGAATTAAAAATATGACACTCAAGTAAATGAATAAATTCTAAACCATTTAATTGTTTAAATGCCTTTTTTATACTATGTAATATATTCCTAAAACCAATTCAATAAAATATAATTATATTTAAAGATTGTGAACTATTAGATTTACGTATAATATTATATATTGGTATACTATTATCTGAAAACGGATAATAAGGATTTATACATTTTTTGGGTATTACTAAATATCACAATGGTGACGGTCACCAGTGGTGACTGACCAAAAGTACATCACAATGCTGGTATGGTGACCATCACCACCGGTGAGCTTTAGTAATACCTTTTTTTTGTTTTTTAAAAAAAAAATGAATTTAACGAATAAGGATTAAAGAATAATATGATTAATTTATTTTCATTATAGGATTTGTTGTCATATATATATTCTTTGGCTTGATAACTTAAGTTATTCACGCGACATCAATTAATCTAATTGATTAAAAAATTTTAAAAATGAGCTTAATAATAATAATTTTTTTTTTTTTTTACGGTAAAGTTTTAATACTTTTTTAGTTACTTTAATGGAATTGGCGCAGGAGTTGATAAAATGGTTTTAGCTTAAATTGGAAAGAAAATATGCGCCATTAAATAATAATTAAAATAATTCTTAATTTTTTCCCAAATAATCTTTTATTTTCATTCCGATGAATATTAAAGTTACATGTGCTAGTATGCATGATGGGCAGATGGCATCATAACTTTATATATATATATGGATAAGCAATTTTCTTAATTTACTCATTTAGTATTTTTCAATAAAATATTGACATATACGAAAGTTAGAACGATGATATTGTACTGTATATCCTTTTTTATTGTGATTCTGATCTGTATTATGCGTTACAGCTGCTATTAAAGATTGAATTTCAGTTTCTTATATAATAAATTGAGTGCTTTCACATTTGCCCACACCCTTCTCGAATTATCAAATAAAATAGTTTATTAGGCCTTTTAACGAAAACATGGGCAACTCTATTGGTAAAGTGTATAGAGATGTCATAAATTATGAAGACTCAAGTCAAAGTATAGAATATGGAAAAGATAATTTCACCGAGAAGAAGAAAAAGTATCGAATTGCAGTTAGTCAAGATGGAAAATTTGCTGTTACTTTTGATACAGGTATGCAAAAATAAATAAATAAATAGCAAATCTTCTGATTAGAATATTGAAAAACACTGATCATCCTCAACCTAAATTCAATAAGAAAGATGTACTAGATTCCAGTAGTCAGAATAAATCCGATGAGCCTTTTGATAATGATAAAACAATCGCTTATTTTAAAATAGATAATGACTTTGAATTTTCTAAACTTTACAATCCTAAAAAAACTGAAGATTCTTCAGGCAACGGCAAGACAACAAAACACGACAAAAGTAGCTCGGAAGAAGATGAAAAGAATGACAATTATAAATGGTCTTTTGATATATCAAATATGCATAAGAATGATAACGATGATAGCGAATATTTTATTTTTGTCACCATATCTCGTATAAACATTAACGAGGACATGAAACAAGAAAAGAGAAAAAAGATGATAATAAAAAGCAATGATGGATATCTTAATAAAATACGATTTAAACCTTTATTCAATAATAACGATAAATCTGTCGAAACTATAATTTCCATGAAGCCAGAATTTAAAAAAAAGGAATCAAAAAAGGGATCACTATTTATCACATTAAAATAAAAAGTCAAAATGAAGAAAAAGAAAAAAGTGGGGAATAGGAGAACAATACTGTAGCTTTCTATTATTCTATTTTAAATAAATACTCAATAATCCATAATGTATTAATGTAGCTTGAAGGATATATATTATACATTTTTGTTAGAATAAATCAGATTGCATTATAATAAATCCTAAACATAATAATACCTTAATATTGTATTTACAAATCGAACAGTAGTGGTTATCATAGTGATTTCAATCGTAGATTTTGTTTTATTTATTTTCACCTTCCTTTTTCAAATTCTGGAATTATATAAATGTTGAGGGCTAGTTTATGAAACATTTTGTTTCTCTTTAATAACTTAACAAGAACCCAACATTTGAATAAACTAATGAATTGGTTTAGATACATCTACAATTTTAATTTATCGTATAGGAAAAAAAATCAAAAAAATATAATATTTCAAAGAAATTCAATATAAGGAAATAGATTTTCTTTCAACTTTTTGTTGTAAAAGAAAGTTAATATTATAACAAAAAACAAAAAGATATCAGTGGAAAAATAAAACAAATTCATAAATTTCTACTTGCAATAATTACTAAATGATTTTTCTGATCATGAATTTTATTGGTCCAATAAATTAATTTATTTTATTTATTTGTTCATTTTTTTTTATTTTTTATTTATTTACATGATATAATTCAATGCACTGTATGTTAATTATAAACCGTTACAAAAGCAAGCTCTCCAGCAGCCTTCTGTTTCTTAACACGCTATTATTAATTTTTTAATAATAATCTTTAGTTAAAAATTGATGGAGCAATAAAAAGAAATATATTTTGAACGCTATTTGAAGCTAATAATAAATAAACAAAATACAGAACAGCTAAGAAAATTGTTAAGGCTTATTCATTATTTCATCATAAAATTTTAATATAATATCGAAATTTAAAGTGTGAACTATAAAAAAAAAATTTCGAACTCCAAATTTATTAGAAATTACCAAAAAAATATACATTTAAATATATTATAATAAGGTATTTATTAAATAATACTACAATATGATTTCATATCATAAAAATTTCAGTGATTTTTACGACTTGATGATATACAGTATATGAAAAATATTTCTCAGATAACTATTAAAGGCTCATTATGTCAATTCTTTTCAGTGAAATCATCTTAAATTTTAATCATAATATATAATTGAATAATTTTATAAGGTAATTTATTGATAAGTTATAATATAAAAACAATAAAAAAATAAATAAATAAATTATTTAAATTACAAACTAAGAAATATTTAATCTTATTACTCTAGTCCTAGTGTTTAAATAATTTATATAAAAATTATAGAAATACTTTATATGTAATAGTATTATTACACAGAAGATAGCATTTTCATGATTATTTATCTATATCTAAAAATTTATTAAAAAAAGACTTTAGTAATTTTTTAAATTAATTAAAATTTCAAATTTAAAAATAAAGAATCCTTACTATCCGGCAGTTCCAATTCGTCTTGTTCTTCTGAATGAAGATTTGGATTGTTATGTATTTCATCATCTACAAATAAAATAATTATTTAGAAAGTATTAAATTATTTATTATTATAATTATTATAACTAATTTAAATAATTATATTACATACCGTCAATATCATCATGATATTTTTTTATTTGTTGTTGCATTGTTTCTTGAATATCTAAAAATTAAAATAACATTACGTTCAATATTAAACAATTAAATTGATAATATTAATCATTCTACTTGCCATTTTTTGAATTCCTTTTGAATATTTTAGATAATTTCTTACTACCAACTAAAAAGTTAAAAATATAAATATTAATTTGTTTGATGATCTAAAGGAAATAATATTAAATATGTTTTACAAATTACCTTTAAAAATGCTAATTATTTTTGAACTATTCTTCTGATTATTCAACTTATCAAAATCATCGACTAATAATAGATAATAATAAATCAAATAAAGTAACTTATTATATTAACATAAGTCTAATATACTTACTGTTATTGGGAATATGAAAGTTGTATGATTTATTACTGTGAAATGCTAATAAAAAAAAAATAATTTATTATTTAATTATTTAAAATAAAAAATATATAAAACTGTAATGTTTAATTTATACCTTCTTGTTCTTCTGCGTTATGATTTAATTAAAAAGTAAGATTTTAATTATTAATATCGACCATATATTAAAAATTAAATAAAAAATTTCAATAATACCTTCTGTTGCATTTCTTGGTTCAGGAAGATTTTCAAATTGATGAACTTTACTCGTAAATAATCTCCTACTATTTGTATAGTTTTCTAAATCATCTATTTCCAAACTATTATCTTCTTCCGGTTGAGTTAATAATTCATTTGGTTTATTTTGATAAAATAAATTAACTTCTCTTATTTTTTTCAAAAGTGTAACAATATTAGGTCGCTTTGATGGATCAGCATCCCAACATTGTTTCATTAAATTTTTATATTCTAAAGGAGTTCCTGATACAATTTTTGGTCTTATACCATTAACGATATTCATAGCAAGATCATAATTATGTTCGTAATTAATAAATGGTGGTTGTCCAGATGAAATTTCCCACATAAGTATGCCAATACTATAAATATCAGATTTAAAAGTAGTTACTTTTCCTGAAATAACTTCCGGTGCAATGTAAGGAAGATTTCCATATACACTCTTTAATGGTTTATCTGCAGGTCCACAGAATCCAAGGTCGCTAATACGGAATGCATAACCAAAATTATATAACATATTTCCAGAATGCAAATCTCTATGAATCGCATTCTCTTTATGAACTCGTGAAAGTGCTAATATTATGTCAGCAGAAATTTGAATTCTTTCTTTCCATGTAAGTTGATTATAATTTTGTTGTAAATATTTTCTTAAATCTGTATTCAATTTATTCATTACAAGCATATAATCTCCATTTAATGGATCTTTTGTTAAACCAAAACATTGGACAATCGCATCTGGCCATTTATTAGATATATTTAAATGCGAATTAGCCTATAAAATAAAGAATATATTATAAAAATTTTTAATTTAAAATTTTTTTTTCTTTTTTAGATTACAAACCTCTTCAAACCAACGTTTATTTGCACTTTCAACATTTTCTAATCTTTTAAGTACTACATTTTGTACTAATCCAGGTCCTCCAATTCTTTTTAATTGTTGTTGGGTAGAATCCCATTCAATAAAATTTCCATCAGTCCATTCTGCTGTATAAATTTCAGAATATCCACCTTTTGTTAAATATTTAATATTTTTTAAATTATTATATGGAATCCATTCAACTATACTATCTGGTTCAAGTGTATTTATCTGACATTCTTGTATTAAATTATCAATATCATCATTTCCGGATGTCCAATTTGAAAAATTATTTTTTAAATAATTTCGAACACAATATTCACAGTATAATGTAGCTAAACATTTTTGGTTACAAATTTCACAAACTCTTCTTGTTCCTTCATTATAAACAAGTTTGCTTTTATCATAACTTGCAGTCAACATTCTTATTGCTTCAAATTTTTCATCTTTTGTAAGTGATTCATCAGCAAGAATTGTTTGTTTCCAAAATTCAATTTGTTTGTGGAAATCATTGTGAATATTATAATCCGTTAGTGCATATGATTTATTAATTGTAGTATTAATTAAATCTTCTCTAATAACAGACATAATGAAATATATTATTGTAAATTTTTTTAAATAAATATAAAAAAAAAAATTTTTTTCGGAAACGGTCTACTTATAAAGTCAATAACGTGTAACAATAACTGCATATGTACTCCTGTACTCAAACCTAATTAGTCTAGTCAAATGATTTGTGATTCTCATTGTTAAGGAAAATTTTTTTTCCGATACATCATAATAATTTTTTTATTTAAACTTTTTTTTTGATTTTCAATTTTTTAAATTAATTAATCCAACTTTACCATTTATTTTAAAGGATTTTTTTTTTAAAAAAAAAGAAAATAAAATAAAATTATTATTTGTCTAAAGACGCAGCAATAAACGATGATCGTAAATATTGGAATTATTAAATATACAGTATATACATCAGAAATTTATATCATTAAAATATATTAGGCAAATTTAATTATAAACTTGGATTTTAATGTACATAAGGATTGGTAGAAGAAAGTTTAAATTGATAAACTAACATTATATATGTTAAAAATTTTAATATAAAAATTATTCATAATATTACTTTTTTAAGGATGACTATCTAAAAAATAATCAAAAGACGAATGTTTAACATTCATAAAAAGTTTAACTTATAAAAAGTTGCTCCTCTGATATGAAAAAATCTTTCATAATTTATAAGTTTTCCATTTAAAACATCACAATATATCAGGTATTTACTGAAGGGAAGCGTCTATAACTCTATATACGACATGCGTGTCACGTCCGCTTTATATATGTTATATTATTAATTTTTATTTGTCAATGAATAGGATATACTCAATTTTTAATGCTTATAAGAAGTTAAGCATCAAAAATAATTCTTGTTATTCTTATTATTTTAAAAAAATTTTTTTTTTGAAGTTTGTTATAAGAAAACTCAATTTTTAACGTTATAAAATTTATTAGTATAGAAATTATTATTTACTACTTCTGTTTCTTCAATTTATTTTTTTTATTTTGCTAATTTTTTCCATTAATTTTTTTTATTATATTTTTTCTTACGTTTTTCTTTATTAGAATGTGTAAAACTATCGCTAACACTATAAAAGTTAATACAAAATTGCGATTATCAAAAATTTCTAATTTTAAAAAAAATTACTTCTAGTTTATCATTTAACTCTTTTTTCAATAAATGACGCAATAAACTGACCGTTTAACGACTTTAACGTGAATGTAGATCGTCCAATCACATGGTTTACTACATAATTATATTTTCTCTTTCATTATATTATGAGTTTATCAATATTTGTAATTTTTTTTAACAAATTATGACACAAAAAAAAAGTTAATGTCTATATAAATTATTTAACTTAAAAAAAAGGCTTGTTTAAAATGTTTGTGATATAGAGAATTGATTTTCCTTTTTATTCCCATTGATCTTTCATTGAATCAACGAATAATCAATATACAAATTTAACATACTCATAATGTAAAAAATTAAAAGTCAAAGTCATTAATAATAAAAATTATTATAAAACAGATGATCCACCTTATACGTCATGGTCTTGAAGGATGAACCAGTTAGAATAATGATATTGATGAATTTATTGAGAATACAATTTATAATGATTGGTATATTTACTCTTATTTGTTGATTAAATTTTTATAGATTAAAATGGTTTGAAATATTTATTTTAATGATAATAGTGCTTATTTAAAATTTTACTGAATAACTATTTGTGATGATTAATTATGCGATTGACAAATCAAGGAAATTTGGAATGTGTCCTTTCAAGTAATTTTAATTGATTTTTTTTTCGGTAAAAATTTTTTTTTTTTTTTTTGAGTAAATTATTTTTATTTTAGGAATACTAATTGTAGAAGCTATTTTTATTTTTAGGAATTATTTTTAGAATACTAACTCCTGTCATATGAATTAAAACTGGGCATACTTAATGTTTAGTATTATGTAGTTCACCTGACTGTGTAACTTTAATTGTTTTTAAATATGACCTGAATTCGCTCAAGTTTAGGGAGACATGAATAAATCCTAATATTACCCATTAATTTTGACTTCAATTCTTTAGCCTTTTCTTATGATGAAAAGTGTGTAAGTCATCTGATACTAATAAGGGGGAAATTATTGCAGTTTGTAGAATAATTTGTGATTAGGTAAGATTGAGAACGAATCACGTGATATTAATCATTCTTTTTGTGCGCAGTGGTATTTACGCAACATCACTCATCACTCTTCACAAGTTAAATCACTTGTTTACAAGTTTTTCTTTTTTATCTTCTAATTTCTTTATGAGTTGTTTATCACTCGTTTATAAGTTTGTCCTTTATCTTCTATTTTCTTTACAATATTTGCTTAGGAGTTGTCACACTCATTTCCTTTTATCTTCTATTTTCTTCACAAATTGTTTATTGCTCATTTACGAGTTATCATGCTCATTTTTTTTTCTTTTTGACTTTTTTATTTTTTAATTTAGTTAATGTAACTGAACAATCACCAATTCACCATCATCAACTGATCAACCATTACTATCAAGTCAAACTGAACGAACACCATTATCAAATCATATCAAATATCAATCAAATCTATTACCAAATAATAGTTCATCAATCCAGCCACTAACTTATGAAGAAGCTACTAATGGAAAAGTTATTGTAGAAGAATACATTTACATAATAATATGTCTTCTGCAATAGATTGCAATACAAAAAGAATATATTCAAAATATAGAAATAATCAAATATCTTGGGAGGAGTTGAACAGAGCTTGGAATGGCAATATGAAAAGTGTAAATAGACGCTAAATTATTAAATAAATTTAATCATTTTTATGATTTTTTTAAAGGAGTAAAATCGCCACCATTAACCAATCAACCACCACCATCAAATCCTGAACAATCGTCAACATTAACCGATCAACCACCACTATCAAGATCAATCCAACCGCCAACTTATGAAGAAGCCACCAGTGGAAAAAGCTATTGCAGAAGAAAACATTTACATGATAATGTGTCTTCTGCAATAGCTTTCAATACAAAAATATATTCAAAATATAGAAATAATCAAATATATTGGGAGGAGTTAAACAGAGCTTGAAATGGCAATATGAGAGGTGTAAATAGATGCTAAATTATTAAATAAATTTAATCATTTTTATGATATTTTAAAGAAGTAAAATTTTAACCTATTTTAGTATTAACTATCGTGATTTTTTAAAGTGTAAAATCAAAATTTATCTGATTTTAGTATTAAACATTAACATTAAAGTTCCTATCGCTATAATCGCTATAATATAATTAAGTACGTAATAAGGTATATAAAATATGGAGTGTATAGTGATATTAACGTACGAACTGGCCAGAATTAACATTAACGCTATCACGTGCAAGTGCATAACTCCTAAACTTGGGAAAGTTCGTACGTTAATATCGTTATTATCGCCGTACACCCCACTGTACATTAAGGACGCCCATAAAATATACTTAAGGGCGCACATTTTTCTAATTCTGGCAGAATGTACTCGGTTGAAATTATGAATTTAAGAAAAAAGTACAAGCTTGCAAAAAACTTGATTTATATAAATGTACATTATCATCCATAATACTAAATTAATCATTTGGTGCATATTTTCACATCAACTCCTTTGTTCTATAGTTGCATCAAGTGAACAGTCCCATTTTATTTATCCTTATATATCTAAATTTTTCAGAGTTGAACTTAATTTTGGATCAATCGAGTCAATCGGGTGTACTTAAAAATTTTTGGGTTTTTGATCCATTTAAACGATATGCCTATTGGTATGATTGATTTGGTCCATAGTAAATAGAAATAAAATAACGCTAATGGTTTTTTATAACGATAAGGATTATAGAATGAGATAATTTGTCGGCCCATAAATGAAATTTGATCATGCTAATAAAAAAAAATTTTTCTCATATTTTTTTTTGTAAGTTAATCGCGTGGATCCGTTTATATTTTCAGCATACTTTGTACTAGTTAGCTATTAGCAAATAAAAATGCAAACTTTGTCTTTTAATAAGACACACATAATTTTGATATTGATAATGATGATATCGTAAGTCAAATAATTGAGATAATCTTATTTTCATAATAAGTTTAACCAATTTCTGCTAAATGTAACTAATGATCCTTATTTTCTATCTATATTGATATCGATATATATATATATATATATATGGGCATTTATCACCATTAAAATTATAGTTATTATTATTTTATTTTATCTTATTGATTGGAATGAAAATGAATATTTTTGTTTTTTATTCTTTATGATTTTTCCAATATTAGTATATGCAAATATTTTTGATTATTTTTATTTTGGCAATAATGATAACTTTAATAATCATGTATCTTTAACTGATATTTCAGAGAGTAACGAAAATATGAAAACTGTTGGCCAGGGTAATTAATGATGGCTGTTTTTACATAATGTTGTAGTTAAAGTTAATTTTATCATCATTTTATTGTCAATGTTGTCGATTACAAAATGTAATTTACTTGCTACAAAATACATTATCATATCAAAACTATAGATATCTACTGCTTGAGTATAATCCTTTCCTCTTAATACTTCAGGAGCCACATAAGGCATGACTCCATAAAATTTTGTTTTATCTATATTACCAACTTCTCCACATAATCCCATATCTGAAATTGATATCAAACAACTAAAATTAGCTATACTACTAAAAAATAATATAGTTCCTGTATGAAAATCTACAATGAACTATATTTTTTTGATGAATTTCTTCAAGACCATCAACAATATTAAGCAATATAGATAATTTATTTTTCCAATTAAAATATTTATAATTGCCATTAACGATTTCCATTGCATAATTAAGAACCATAATGTCTTTTATATTTGGATGTTGAGATATCCCATATATATACTAAGGATATTACTACGTTTATTTATTGAGTAGTATTCTTTAACCTATTGAAAAATAACTTAATTAAATTCATAAATTAAATCCATAAAAAATTATTCTATTATAATGATTTTTATAATGAAATTTCATACCTCATTTAAAAATTCATCAGTAATACTATTTTTGTAATTGTATAAACATTTTCAAAGCAATTACTCTTTTTGGATTCCTATTATATGTATTTATATATATATATTCTATTGGACCATCTTTCCGATTTGCGTAAAATATACTATAGAAAAGCCACCTTTACCTATTTTCTTAATATTATTAAACTGACTGTATAGTATACATTCAAAAAAATATATCATTATGATCTTTTATTTGTGATTGAATTTCTTGAATAAATTTATCAATCTTTTCATTTCCACTGAACCAATTTACTAAATTTATGAAAGTATTTTGAACCAAAATATAATCTCCTGTATTTGGATTTTGAGATATTTCCTACAATATTTGAAATGCTTTATATTTTGTTAGATAGTTTTTACTAACTTAACAGTTTTATTTGAATCCCTTTTATACTCATCTTTCTAATAATAATGCAATGAACCATCCTTCCATATTGCTGAATATACTGTTGTAAGGCCATTTTTGCCTAGCTATTTCTTTAATTTTATTAAACTGATTGTATGGTATCCATCCAAGCACTAAATTATTATAGTTATTAACTTTTTAATTGTTTTTCTTGAATGAAATCATCAATTTTTCATTTCCACTTAAGAATAAGCTAAATCCTTTTTCTAGAATGGTACCTCTATATAAATAAGTTTCTTCAGAGTAATCATCACGTGATTAATATAGTTGCGGTCCAGGATAAGAACCTGAACCCCGGTCTATTTTAAGGACACTCTTTTGTAATTACGTGAAATCTCATCAATAAATAAAGAGTCATGAGACATTAAAAAAAAATATTAAAATTAAAAAATTTTGAAAGATTAACGTTTAAATGGTTTACTGTACAAATGATTTTAAAATGATTTTGAAATATTCTGTTACTTTTTTCAATTATTATATTTTAGGGTAAACCTATATCTCGGGCGGTTATTATTAACAAATTTTTGGCCCAACTTTATTCTTACCTGAGTTCTTGCGTCACTTGATTAACTCGAATTCAAGCTCTATCGACTCACGACTTTGAATAGAGGAAAAGGCTAGTCTAATTTCGAATTCAAGTAGAAAAAGATCAGTTTATTATCATTGAGAATAATGGAAATTTTTTAGAGGTTAAACGTGATGAAAATAATCATTTTTAAAGAAAAAGCTAATATTAAAATGGTTAAACATGATATCCACCTCAATGAGATTAACTATTATAAACCTCTAATTTTGAAATCGTCGATAATATATTGGAAATTTATACAAAGAAATTATTAAACAATATCAAATAAGAAACTTGATTTTATGGTTTTCATAATATAAAAATTTCATCACTAACCCGGCAACTCAGCTTTTAATTTTTTTTTTTTTCAAAAATTTTATGTGAAATTTTTTTCAATTTCTAAAAAATTCTCACCCGGCATAGTAATAATATAAAAAAAAATTTTTTTTTTAAGATTTAACAAAAACTGACGCTGCCGAGATATGAAAACCATTTTTACCACTTTGTGACGCCTAATATTGATGCAATATTTAAAAATGAAATTGAAAAGTTTCAAGTTGGAATTTAATGAAAATTGATTTACTAATTAAAGGAATTTTTCCATTTGAAATTATAGAATTTTTTAAATCATTTTGGTATCACGAAAAATGAAGATATAGAAAATTACGGTATATTTTTATTGCAGACGGTTTTTAAAGAAACTACAATTATATGGCCGAATAGAAATAATCTTTTAGTTAAAAAGTAAAAGAAATTGGGTATTACTAAAAAAAAATGGATAGTTATAATAATTCTTATAAAGGAGCACAGGGATTATTACATAATATATATTTTGGTAAGATTTTATATTACAAGCGATCCAGATTATTCTTTTTTCTTATTATTTTCGTCTTTTAGTAGATTGGCTTTATTTTTTGGGGTGTGGCTTTAATGTAATCTGGTTTATTAGGTTTTAACTTAAATTTTTTACTAAATATTAAGTTTTGAACTTTTGATTTTTTATATATTTTCAAAATTTCTTTTTGTATCAAACTAAGGGCTCGTATATAAAATCTTAATAAAGTTTTTTAATTACCTAAAATAAAAATAATAATGATAAACCACCGCTTTTAGATTAATCATCTAATAATATTTAACTGTTGCATATCCCGAAACCTAAACCGAACCCTCAAATTTAAATAGTATTGACATGATTCCTGAAAGGATATTGCTCCCGATTTACAGAAGATTGAAAATTTTGTTAATAAAAAGGAATCGGGAGAAAAAACTTTTGACTTTCGATCTGACGAATTTATCTGCGGATCGTAAATCGACAATACATAAATGATCGGGATAATAATATGTATGTGACATGCAGTGCGTACTCCGTCACTTTTTTGTACTAGTCTCCTGAATTTAAACAGAAAAGAATAATAAGGTTTCATCATAGGTTATACAAAACTATTAAGGCTACTAATAAAATGGTTAAACGTGAAATACAATACAAGAATATGATATCCGGTTCAATAATACAGTATAAACCTTTAATATTAACCGTCCATTATAATATTTGTGTGTTTCATTAACAAACAGGAAAGAGATATCGGTCGAAGATCGATATCCCCATCCAATAACTGAGTTATAGTTCGGTCATTAGGAATACTGCGGTGACCAATAGGAATTAATGCTACTAATTTCAATATCGGATGTTTCATAAAAATATAGGTCATTAAAATTCCGCGTATTCCTAATCGACTGAACAATATAGAACCATCATTTACATATTATATTGAAGACAATTTTCTTCCCACACGACTATGTCATGTGGATTGTAAAATCAATAACAAATTTATGAATCATCGTTATAACTTATAACCATTGATAATGAAAACACATAATGTGTTGAATAGTGATAAACGTTCATATAGGCATGATGACGTTCAGTTATATCAAACTGAGTAGTCTTATTTTTTATAGGAAGGAAGGGAAAAAATATTTTAGTTTCCCATGTAATATTGAGATATCATTTTCAGAATCGAAATCTTGAACGCTTTGTACGTAAATTTCATGTTTTTGCTTATAAAATTTCTCTAGTCATTTATAATTGTCAAAAATGTGCTTGAATGACAAAGATATACTAAATTTAATAAAAGCCTTGTAGTTGATAGTCCTATTTTCGAACAATGTATTCAATATGTACTGTATGTTACTAATTGTCAATTTACTTATCTTCTTATATATAGGCAACATAAAGTTCTACTTGTAATTTTTTCTTTGTAGAAAAGAACATTGTTCCGCAATCCAACCTTCATGCAAGCAATATTAGGATAGTGTACACAATGTACTCCGTGTTTTATATTTCATTTTTTCCGTAAAAGACTCATATTTCCGGTCATATAACGGATAAAATTTTTCGCTCGTTCCTTTAGTTTGTTTATGGAACACAGAATTTGCAATAATGAAATAAATTATCTTCGGAATTCCACTCCGCAAAAATATGGTTCTTTATATTGTACGACCAGTCTTCTTAATAGACCTATTATATAAACATATCAAGATGCATACTCGAAACCTATCAAGATCGATAATTTTGCTCCACAAATCTTGTATGGCACATATTATTTTAGTATTATTTGACAAGGTAATTTTCTGAAGTATACATAAAAGGTTTAAGTTTGAGTTTGCCAAAACAAATCATGAACATCTTTCCTTTTATAGATAATGCCTGGTAGAAGTTAATTGCCTTTTTTGAATAATTACCGAAATTATCATAATCCCGGCCCTGAAAAAACGCGTACAGCTAATGGTAAAATTTCTTTGGCTGCCTCTGACCTTATATATATATATTTCGGGTCTTTTTACAGCTTGTCCGAAATGCCAAAATTTTATAAGAAACAAAAAGTTGAAGAGTTTCAAAAAAGTGAAGTTCTTGCAATCATGACATATTTATTTATTTAATTTATTTCTAAAGAGTGATTAACAGAGTCTATTACTTAAAAGTAATCTGTACAAAAATAAAGGTAAAACTATCTAAGTAATAAGATCATTGATATTCATCATATCAAATAGGACCTCACTCCAATCATGAACTGTGATTCTTTTGATTTCTCCGTGTTTCATAAACATGTTAGTAATGATCAGCAAAATTAACTCAATAATTTTTTTGCAGATCAATACTATATAAGGTTCTCGACAAATCACATGGACCCTACCTAAAAAATGATCGACAATAACAAAGGACATGATCATAAATTTGTTTGTGTCATTGTACTCATTATATACAATTAGAATACAGATTCCTTATAAAATAAGCTATTAGAAGTTAGAACTAAAAAAAAAACCATATACAGGACCGAAATATCGTTATATTAAAAGAAAATTTATATTTTCCTATTTCTTTATACAAAAATATACAAAAATATTAAGAGTCATAATTACCCCAATTAAAATATGGACTCCTTAGGTTCTAATCCCTATGATATTTATGATTGGTATGAGACTCTCAATGGTAAAACCGGCATCTTTGCAATAGCTGTGGTTATAATTTTTGTATCAATTATAATTATTACATTCATTGTACGAATCATTCAATTTCCCCACCTTCGCCAACAAGTTATCAATTATTTCATTGCTGACTGCACTCAAAGCGCCCCCACAAGAATACTTAAGATGATCATTTTCTTGTTTCTTACTGCCGGATTGGTAGGAGTAATTTATTTTAATGTTTATAAAATGGTTAATTATCCCCCAAAGTTATCTATGAGTTTGGAAGAAAATGATTCTTTTCCATCTATGCTTTTTTGCCCAGTCTATAAAGACGCTAGTTTCGAAATTGTATCTGCAAATTATTATGAAAGTGTTTACAATATTAATAATAAAAATCCACTTGTTAATTTAATTGACTCGAAAGTTTTTCAGGATATTCCAGGAGATAATAGTGATTGTAAATTTTTTAATGGTACATTGTTCCCATCATTCTTGAAGAAAAAGAATTTTGCTGGAGGAGTTTATATACTAGTCTTTAATCGTTTCAATTCTTCCTCTGTTGTCATTTACATGGGTGATAACAACGTGGACTGGATAAACTTCATTCCTCAAGGGAAAAAATTCAGTGATGTTGAATCTATAACATTACAAACAGAGGGTAGAAATTTTCAATATACAGAAACTCGTATTCGAGCCATAAATGGAACCATATATCGAAATTTCCAGATGTCCTTTAAAGGTAATCTTCTCACTACCACCGACGATACTGTTGGACTCATGATCAAAGCACCAGCACGTGTCACGACAATGATTTTAAGGCCATCCCTTACACTAGTTGAACTTTTTAGTAACATTGGTGGTTATCTTAGCATCTGGGGAATTGTTGTATTTCTTTTTGGTCGTGGCAAGATGGACCCATTCGGATTTGTCTCACGCTTTGTATTCATAGAACAGGATAAAACGAAGCTTCTTAAAGAATTGAAGAAAATAAATTATGATAAAAGTATTAAACAAAATAAGATTGATATTGTTACCGAAACAAGTAATCTTGACGATCAAGTTGAATTAGAAAACCTGCTTGCGAAATACTATATTCACATGGATTTCTATAAACATGCTGTCAAGACGTCCGACGTATAATAAATACAGTATAATAATAAGTTGTACATTAAGTATATTATATAACGTAGACTTTTGCAACATTTCTTTTTGTTTAAACGGATGCAAATCTGGATATCCAGATATCAATCCTAAATGTTAATCCGGATGGTAAAATCTGGATACTCATAAGATATTCACTGAATTACTTAAAAATTTATTTATTCAAACTCATTTATAATTTATTGAATAATTACTGTATATTATAATTTGTATGTTTTTTATCATAGAAATCAAGAAACTGAATTATTATTGTTATTTTCATCGCTATATTTTGACATTCATCAAAATTTAGGTTCTCAATATTATCATCTACTTCTATTATATTACATTTTTGGCTAGACATATTTATTTCATTACCTCGGTTTGTTCTATAAGAAATTTCTTTTATAGGCATTTTAGCTTAGAAATTTTAGAAATTGTTCCTTTTTTTTTCCTATATTGTTTCTTTTGTTTATGACAATTATGAAACATTGAAACATCTTGTATCTTTCAGCTTAGTTTTTTGCGAAATAATCAAAATTACCGTTAGAATATTTTATACTAATAAATTTTATTATATCATGTTCTGAGATCCGGATTATATTCAGTGAATATCCTATTTTTCTCAAGCAAATCTGGATATCCTACTGAAAAGTGAACGGATCCGATTTTCACTGAATAAGTCATTAGGATCATTCACCGGATCTAAGTATATTATTAATAATGTGACAAACTTTAATAAGTCAAGTCTGTTATTTCTCGTATTATGGGTATTTAATTAGATTAATAAATTCCGTTAACGACGTTTATGATTAAATTGTCAGCGATCTCATATAACTGTGTCATGTGTCGTTAAATCACATGATTTGTATTTCCATTCCGTCTAAAGATCTATCGTATGCTCCTGTTATTATCTTGGGCGTATATTGGAATAATTCAAATGCGACGTATTATAAATTTTCTCAGGTGATATTGTGTAGCTCCGAAGGTTACATGCTTAGACTGCTTACACAGAAGTTAAGACTTTCAAAATAAATATTATGCGTATCTTATATCTCATATTTATATTTGGAGTTTGAGATATAAAATTGATTCGGGATATGGTTGAGTCCTGAGGAGAGCAGAAAGTTACTAGAAGCATTAAAATAAATGACTAAAATCAAAAACCGAAAGTATTTTACTAGATTTACTTTTTCTTTTCTGAAATTTAAATGAAGAAAATAAAATTCATTTATATTAAAATTATATCAAATGTTCAAAATTATTAAAATTCGATTTTGTAAATTAAATTTTTTTATACAATAAATATTTAATATATAAAGTAAGTATCCATTATAATGTAAATAGCTACGGTCAGTGATGAATGATGATCTTTTTTGAATGGTGATGATATGTTTGAAGCTGTTTTTTGTCTTGTTTGACAAACAAAAATATTCAGTTTTTTTAGAGTAAATCTGAATCTCGGACGGTTTTTTACTTATACTTTGACAAATTTTTGGTTCAAATTTATTCTTACCTGAGTTCTTGCGTTACTTGATTGACTCGACTTCAAACTATATCGACTCACGAGTCACGACTTTGAATAGAGGAAAAGGCTAGTCTTATTTCGAATTTAAGTAGAAAAAGATTAGTTTATAACAATAGAAATTTTTAGAAGTTAAATGTGATGAAAATAATTATCTTTTAAAGAAAAAAGCTTTTATTAAAATGGTTAAACATGAATTGTAGTACAAAAATGTGATATCCGCCTCAATAAGATTAATAATAATAATATTAGTCTCTTTTAGACAAACCTAATAAGATAGACCTGACATGTGACTAAATTTGTTATATACAATACTAAGACGATGTAAAAATTACCCAACTTGCTTTTCTGCACTGAGGTAACCCTACATTTAAGACTCTTTTAAACATTCTAAATATAACTAAATTTGTTAGTAATAAAATAAAATACATAAGAGAAAAATTGTTCCAAAAAATTAAACGGTATAAAAAAAAATCCCCTAGTACAGCATATCAGGCTTCTTTAATGATTCATCTTTCTTTTATAGTAGCGCTTCTGCGGAAAGTTCTGGGACTCTGCCGGTCGATCACGTGATCGAATTGAAACTTGTCGAGATTCGGCATATGTCAAAAATTCAAAATCCTAAACCATTTGCCGAAATCCCAAACATATTATCGATATACGGATATTCTACAAAACATAATACAAATTAATTTATCAAGAAGATAACTAACAAAATTAGTAAATAGTTTACTTAAATAATTAATAATTTTAAATGGTTATGAAGTTATAAATAATTTAATAATCGTATACACTATACAGTACACGAATTATGTAAATAATTAAATACATAATTATGAACAATTATCGCTGCTGTTTTCAGAATTCTGCTACCCCATGCAAATTACTTAATAATATAAAATTATTTGATACAGGATGATTACTGAACAAAAACCGGACAATATGTCCGGTAATCATCCTGTAATTATAATCATCCAATAATCACCCAGTAATCACAACACAAACAAAGAAATCTGAAACTGCAATAATATAAATGATCTGCGAAATGATCAACATAAAAAAAAAAAGAATCGTACTTTGGTGTAATAAAATTTGTAAGATTCATTACTCATTTCCTAATATGTATATCTATTAATTTCCTTTTTTGTAAACAAAAGACTTTGAGTAACTTGTAAAAGATTCCCGAACTTTTTTATTTGAATATTGAATTTTCTTCATTTTCTTTGTAAAAATAATTCTTATAGCGTTATTGTTATATTTACTGATACAACGACTTTTTAAATTTTTTATTTATAAATTTTTTTTTTTTTATACATAATGAATATATGTAACGTATGTCAGAAACCTTCTACAACCAAATGTTCAAAATGTCATCAAACATATTATTGCTCTAAAGAATGTCAAAAAAAAGATTGGAAACTTCACAAAAAATCTTGCGGAAAAAATGATGTTGCCGTACCAAATATTGCATCCGGTCCATTTTTACCTGGAATGTCAGAAATTTTAACTGATATGATGTTCAATATGGATATAGGTACTCCTTTGGAGAATTGGAACGTACCTGATTTCGGAAAAGAATATGCCATGAAATATCCACATGAAAATGATCGAATTAAGTTTCTTAATTCTGCTAGATCATCGCTTAAAGCTCTTCAAATCGTTGAAAAAGTATTTGATAATGATATTCCCAATTTACCTGATCCTAAAAAGCTTGCAAAAAGGTGGGGTGAATTATCAGAAAATCTTATTAAATTTCTTAAGTCTCCAAGGAAATATGGTGACATTTTTACTGAGAAAACAAAGAGACCATATGTTGGAGATAAAGGAGTTGGCGCTCTAAGTTTTAGTAACATGCCAAAAGGATGTATATCGCTTGATCAAGGCAAAACTCATGTTGCTGTTGGTTTTGTAGATTTAGATTTACTTTTAAGAGCTAGAATTATGCAAAACGATCATTCCGTGGAGCAACCAAATAAATTCATTGGTTATGAAGGATCCATTTTCGCTGTAGCAAAAACAAATGTGATAAAAGAAATGATGATAGTAAAGGCGCCAATTCGGTCAATCATAGAAGTATGGTTTTCTACTGTATGGACGATAGAAACTTTAAAGCATTTTGAGAATGCTGTCAATATCGTCTTACAATATGAAAATGCTCCAAATAATAAACCACCTAATCCCACAAAAAAAGAGATTCATCCAAAAGTTAGGTCATTGATTTCTCATTGGAAAAAGTCTATTGTAACACCAAAATCTCGACAAGAAGCTCATAAACTCTGGGTAAAAACTTTTAATTCGGAAAATGCTACACTTACTATTATAGCTAACCTTATTGAACCACGAGATCGTGTTCAAGCCGTACGACATATCCTTACTGGAGAGTTTCCACTTATGGATGATCAACAAGAGAAAAATTTATTCGCAAGCATTACAATGTTTAATTGTAATGATGGAATTTCCCCACATTCAGCAAGTGAATTTATGTTTCAAATGATGCCAATGGATGCCATTTTACCCCAAAATAAACGTAAAGAGACTCCCTTCTTGAATGCAATTTACAATTTCCTTGAAGACGCAATCACAAAAATTTTTACTTGGTTATCACCGCCTGTGGGAAAAACTGAAGCAATAGAAATTTATTTGCATTATCAAACAGTCAACAATGATAATTCTGAATTACTAGCCTCGATTCGTCAATTAGATCCATGGACAATATCCTGGAGTAATATTTGTGATTACTTTTACCCACATGATTTTCACAGTTTGCTTCGAGCATGTTCAGGAGAAAATACAGTTCATATATTGACTTCAATGAATTGGGTCACAGAAGTCTTTGGTGCACATATCATGGAATATGATAGTAAAATTCGTCGCAAAATTTTTATTGAAGCACAAAACATGATTTCAATGACTGGAAAATATAAGGACCCATCTGGATATTTCCGACATACCAAGGTTATCGCACATCCATATAATATAGGTGATATGGGTGCGACATTGATGGTGAAGGATAGTTGGCAAGATTACTTTTTCAAAGGACAAGATTTGAATATTGGCGAAGTTTCATTCGTACCATATTCTCATACACACAAAACTCATACGCTCTTGAATATTTATTTTACGTTTAATAAAAAGATTAATGCTTATACTGGTTACGAGTAGATACTAGTTAATTAATTTCTATGGACGTTCAATTTTTTGTTCTATTTTATCTGTAATTAACTTTACTATAGTAACTTTTTGATTTACAAAATATTTTTTTTTAAATGTTATAGGTATATTTAATTTATTATTAGAAATTATACATTTTATTTTTTAAATTATTTCCTAACATTGAATAAAATAAGCTTTCCAAATCTTCAATATAAATAGTTGTAAAGTCATTTCAACAATTACCAGGTATATATCATGCCGACACTTATAGAACTGAATATAAAGACGCGAATTGTGTAATCATATATTAATCTAAGGAAAAAACTGGTATATTTTGATTATTTTGCCTGCATTATAAATTTTTGACCGGATTAAAAGTTATCTCACAAATATCCATCTATCATTTGTTTCATATAAGAAGTACAGTACCGAAAATCTTATTCTTTTGGAGGGAACTCTTTCTGATGATCATTCCGACCAAAATTTTTGAGGAAAGAAAATATCGTTTTAACAAGGAGTGTATTAATAAAACCCTTAAAAATAACCACAAAAATGGAGTCAGCATACAATTTTACAGAATATAGATATAGGTTTCTCAAAGACGTTAAAGAAGCCTTTTGTGCAGGCCCCATAGACATTATATATCGGTCAGGAAGAGCGAAGAGGAATAACAACCTCAACAAAATGGAATAAAACTTCTTGGTGCCAATACAGAAGGTCATAGTACACGAAAAAGAAACAATACAGGACATAGTCCTAAGGTATGCTAACACCTCCTACGAAGTTTATAAAGACGAAACGCAAAGGCTCCCAAGAGATTGAAGAGAAAATTCAGAAATTCAGCTTTGGCTGTGGGAGGCGCAGCAAAAAATCAATAGATTGTCATGTGAGTTAGATAAAACAGGAAAAGAGGCGAAAAGACGGGAACGAATTATATCAGAGAAAAATGAGCGAATTAGGAAAGTTTTGAAAGAAGTTGAGACAACGAGGGCTGAACTAAAAACAGTAAAGGATGTCGGCAAAAAGCAAGATGATCAACCTATAAAATCAAAAAAAGGTAACCGATCATCAAAAAAGAAAAAACGGGAGCTGATCTTGGAAATACCAGTTTTACCTGCCGATCACAAGAGAAGGAGGCACATGACTTGTTTTTCTACGATATACTGAAATATTGGAAGGAAGAGGACATAAGAAGAAACCTGTTGAAAATAGGAAAAGTTTTCAGAATCCAGATTAGGAACAATTCAAATACAAATCCGTAAAAGCAAAAATACTTTTGAATGAGAAGTGTGAGATGGCCTTTTCGGTATTGGTATTGAAAAACATTTCATCATGTGGTATGACGCGAAGATTGGATTAAAAGGATGACAAGATAGAGACAAGTGCCAGCTAGTCAGGGACTTAACCAAAGAGGAGATGGAAGAACTAAAGAACGGAAGCCAATATGACTTCACAAAAAAAACTGCAACAAAAAACCAACGCGGCGTTTATCAAAATTATCAAAATTATCAAAATTACACAAAATTGGAAAGTAATAGGATACTTTAATAACCAAACCACAATGGAAAAAGCAGTGGAAAGTTCTATAGAGGAGAAAGACATCTCAAAGATTTGGATGGTTAGAAATGCTAAGACGATTTATAAAAGTGGAAAACGGAACGTAGAAAATGAGATCAACAAGAAAGACAAGAAAGAAAGTAAAGTGAAGAAAATGAGTAAGGAAGGAACTATTCAATCATTAACATTCACTTTAAGGGAGGATAATGTCCCATCACCACAGACGCCGCTGAAAAGAATTTATATGGGGCTCTCAAATATGGTGACAAGAAAGGGACGACAAATAGGAAGTATAATCACGAATGATGATGGTAGTCCACGAAAAGATGAAGATGTTGTGAAGACGATCCAAAGATGGCGTTGGAGAGAGAAACAACAAAGAGATACTGATAGCGAGAAGAGTGATAATAAGATAGGTCTTGCGAGTTTAGGAAATCTAGAAGCAGCACCTCTGAAACGCGACAATGTCACACCCGACGAAGTCGTTAAGATCATCAAAGATATGAGAGCGGAACAAAAGATTAAGTGCACTCCATATCAAGCATCTAATAACAAATTATCGAGGAAAAATTGGAGGAATTGCAATCAATTTTTTTGGAAAAAGATAATGAGATGGAATGGAAAAGGATCAATGGAGAGGCTATACAATGAATAAAAAATGAACATAACTTGACGCCACAAAACGTCAAGCAATGGGCATTAAAAACAAATAATTTCATGTTGTTAGGCTAAAAAATTATCAGCGTAGCAGAGCAAAGCAAGATCTTACAAGAATATACTACGATTAATGAAGGTTGCGTGAAACGGTTGAAGGACGAAAATTGGAGAACCGACGCAAAAGAAATTGGAGAGAAACGCCCGGTTCCCGAAATACCTTCACCAAAAGAATATGGAAATTTACAAGAAAAGGATGAAAGAAGAAAGAGAAGACTAGAAGAAAATAAAAATGAAGAAGTTGATCTCGAGCATATTGAATCGAAGTCACGTGATTTCACGTAAAAAATTTTTTCCGATAATAAATTTTAACAATATGCTTAGAATAATATATAAACATTCAGAACATTTGTTACTTTATAGATTAGATAATTTCATTTAGAGATAGGCTGAGAAGACGATCAGGCTGTTTTTAACGAATTACTTTAGCAACATCTAGATGTTTTCTATAAACAGTTTTATTTTTAGATGGAATTTATTTTTTCTTTTTCGAAGATAGGAGATTTTCTTTGGTTAGGTCAATTTATTTAGTATTAGTTTAGTTTAGGTTTAAAAAGGGAGATATAGGTATAGTATTTATTTTATATTTTTTGTTTTTGTGCTTTTATTTGGATCAGAATACTCTGTTATAGGGGGGGTTTCTTGTATGCAAGGACCTACTATAGGTGTCTTACGATGTAGAATACGATTATAAAAATCCTAATAAAGACGCGTTACAGTTTAAAAAAAAAATATAAGTACAGTACCTCGTCACACATGCATTCTTCAATGCTACAGTATGAGATTTAAAATTTCAACTATTTTAACAATATATTAAAACAATCCTTATTTTATCGTTTATTATTACAATTATTGGTATTAAATCGAGGATCATCAATAGATGGATATTTCTTGTGAAAGCAATAATGTACTTAATAATTATTACTTGCTTTAATGAATAATAAAATAGATAGATACAATTAGTATGATTTATTCGACTTTAATTATAAAATATAATTTATATTTTAGAAATTCTATATGAAGACTGGACTAAATCTTTAAATGATAAAAATATAGATCCGGATTTCTTATCTTCTTACTTGTAGGATATTTTTTTTTTTTAAAAAAAAAAATAATAATAATTTTTTGTACCATTAAATAACAAATTTGCATTTTTAAAAAATTGAAACTATGTCATGTATAATATTTTTATTACTAAATTTGCAAATTGATAGAATACAAATTATATTTACCGATAAATCATTAATAAATGTACCAATTTGATTCTTGATTCTACCCTAGTTTGGAAATAAAAAGGTAAGAATGCCTTACACGTAAATGGACAATGAAACAATTAAGATTTATTTGAAAATAAAAAAGATAAAACATTTAACAAGCAAGGATGTTATATTATCATAAGAACACATTCAGGCTGTTTAATGAAATAAATGGGAATCTATCTTGTTAAGTTGAACCAAGGCGAGCCTGAAAATTCAAATCACGTCCAGTTCACATATTAATCGGGTTCATCTGGATCGCACTTCTACTAGAGAGTCCCCACAAAGAAGAAAAGAAATAAACATTAGTAACGTTTACTAACATTCCAGATAAAAATATCAGCGTTTATGAAAATATATATTGAACTTATCATTATTTATCCATATCGATGATATACTACTTGACAACATCAAAGATTTAACTTAAACTTTATTTATTTAGTCAATTGCTATGATACAAAGTATACTAATAACGAAACAAAAATATAACAAAGTAACTTATGTTACATTAAATAGTAATTCCACCCATAAATTTTAACCACTCTTCGATATCCGGATTGACCAACACCTCTATACCAAAGGACAAGATATAAAAAGAAAATATTGATACGTTGTTAATTATGAAAAGAAAAGAATTATAACTTAACAAAGCCATTGAAATAAAATAGGTACATTTAGCAAATCCTCCTTTACATTATTAATTAGGGATTTGTCACAACATTATAGTTCACTATGCACATGACTTTCGAGTTTTTTGAGTTTCCTGATTTATACTATACAGCGAAAAAATTATTGTAAAAAAGGCAAAAATTATCACAATTTCCCATTTTCCGATATATCATGACTTTATTACATAAATTATAAAAAAAATACAAAAAAGAATAAAATAAATGAAACTCATTAATTCAACTTGGTCAGGAACTTTAACGTTAACCCGAAAAGGAGCAACTTTTTCATCGATTTTATCCTTATACTTTTCAAGTAATAAATTTAACAGAATGACTGATAATAACAATGCAAGACAAAAACAAATTAATTGTAGTTCAATACTAATATTTATGCCAATAATATATAGTATAAAAAGTAAGAAAAATAGCAGGAAGGAAGCCAATGCACCACATATTAAAATGACCAATAATAAATTGAAAAGACACAATGTTATAATAAATAGAAAAAATAGAAAAATCATCACATGCAACTTCACAATAAATGCAATAAATTGAAACATTTTATGAGAAAATCCCTTATCAACTTGAAATACTTCGTATTCTTCTATTTCAAAAATTTCTCCATTAATGATTTTCTTTTCATAAGAGTGCTGCTTGCTTTCACAAATGACATTAAAATTATTTGAAGGTTTTAATGGTTTGATACACAAATCTTGTAAACCAAAACAGGGTCCTTTATTTTTACACCAAATAATCGCTTCTTCTTTAGAGGAAATTCGGCTTAAAATGGGAAATTTTTGATTTGTTAATGAAAATATAAAACTATTTGATGCCTTGCATTTATAATCATTATAAAAATCTTGATTATGAGATAATAGACGTGATGTTTCATTTTCTTCTATTTTGATGCTACGCCATTCTAATGGATTATATCCGCCAATTATCTCTCCTGAATTGCGAATCTTAATGATGATAACTGTTGATTCCTTATTATCACAATTCTTATGAAAATTATTAATTCCAAAACCATCTCTACTAGCGCGATAAATAAGTTTAAATTTAGAAGGTAAATCTTTATAATTATTATAAGGTGTTCGTTTCTTATGGACCCAACTTGCTATTAATGCTGCATCTTTAGCATTAATAATATTAGAGTCAAATGGATATCCTCTTAATGGTAAAACATCAAATGAAAGTTTGGAGGTAGGATCTAAAAAATATTGTAAAACTTCTTCATCAAGACCATCTGGTAGAATATCTTTAAAGTGGCGTGTAGCTTTTGTATATTCATTAGGTGACATACTAAAAAATCGAATGTGAGGAATACAATTGCGTAAAGTATTTTTTAGACCCACGAAATTCTTTGATGTCCATTTAGTTAAATCATCATCAGAAATAGAATCAGTATTTTTAATTCCCCATTTAATTAAATATTTCCAAATTTTAATTTCTTTTAATACAAGGTCATCACTTTTCAAAAGCTGAATAAGTTGAACTTCTTTAATTTTTGAGAAATCCTCTGATTCAAAAATAATTATAGGATTTCTATATATTATTCCTAATGCAAAATTATATAAATTGGTAAAACGATCGTGTTGCAAAGCTGTAATAATTTCTTTTGGTTTCCAATTCAATTTATTATCAAGAAATCGATTTTCAAGTTGTTGATAAACTTCAAGTAATTTAAGCTCATCGGCAGCAATGATAACATCCATAAGATTAATTCCATTATTTTCAACTGAAAGTATCCCTTTATAAATATGCCTATTCCCAATTATATTTTAAAAAATATTAGTTTGTTGTCAGTATTAAATTGTTTTTACAAATACCATAAATATCATTAAAAAATAAACTTACTTTATAAGAACTTCAAATACCAAGGGTGAAATATTAGGTTTATAAAAAATGATTATTCCATCTTCTTTCTTTACCCATCGTGAAGACAACGCATTTTTAAAATAAATTGACTTCGAAGACAAGATTGTCGAATGTGCTTTAAATTCTTCAATATTTGGTTCCTTGCCAACTATAATTTTTACGTCATAATCTTCCATTATTTTCAAGTAAATTTGAAAAAATCAAAAGATATTGGATTACCTATANGAAAAAAAAAAAAAAAAAAAAAAATTTTTTAACGTAACATGCAAGTACATTATCACGAGGACCATCTCAGATTTATTTGGAAATAAAAGAAGAAAATCATTTAACAGAATGCACCATAGCGTCAAAAGTACTATTTTAAGCTTGCAGATGATCATTTACACGCAAACACACATGATCAATCAGAAGAAAATCATTTAACAAAATGCATCCATGATAGCGTCAAAATACCATTTTAAGCTTGCAGGTGATCATTTACACGTAAACGCACATGAATCAATAAAAGATTTATTCGGAAATGAAGGAGAAAATCATTAAACAGAATGCAACCATAGCGCCAAAAGCACTATTTTAAGCTATAAATGGTCATTTTACACATAAACACTATAAAAAAATTACTCCGTGTTTATTCTATGTTATTTCCATAAATATATCATATTCACGGAATTTATAGCCTTAAAACACATGAAGGATGATGACCCATTTATATACTAAACTAGATTAGTAAATAAGATAAAGCATCAGAACTACTTTAAGCTGTTTGTCCGCTTTACCGAAAATATTTGGTTCAAATGAAAAACTTAACGTAATGAATCAGACTTGTAAGAAAATCAGTGCTAAAAAAACCACCAATCATATATTTTACTATAACAATCCATCAGAGTATGCAAACTCAAGATTGGTGATTTAGCATAAATTTGAACATATATAGTAGTTACGTAATTAAAATTTAATATAGCAAAAATGTAAGTATTAAAAGTCTTATTATTATTATCGTAATTAAGCTTTCCAAAAAAAATATACTTATTTAATTTACAAAATTTATTTATAAAGTAAATAAATAATAAATAATATAAAAAATAATATAGAATAATAATGATATTTAAACATAACTATAATAAAGAATAGCTAAATTACCTTTGTGATTTTCCCAGAACAAGGGTTATTAAATAAATCATAAGTTATTGATAAGGTCTTTTAATTCAAGTAAATTTTCTGTTTCTTTTCTTGAAAAATACTTATCCTCAAAAGCTTCTGGAACGTTCTTTGTGTTAAATGGCAATAAAATATTCGACTCAGGAAAAAAAATTTGTTGTTTACAACCATTAGTAAATCGAATATAATCTATTTGCTATAAATAAAGAAGTAAATATTTATATTCATATTTTACAAAACATTTAGGAAACATAAATAGATAGATAGCTTACCATATCAATAGAATCCTTATTTGTTTCAATTGAAAATTGTATCCATTTTGAATTGACAAAGCAAATAGAGTAAAATGGTACATATTCAATCCAACCTATTCCTTCAAGTTTAATTGTATCTTCATATTTCAACATATATTCTTTCTTATGGATCTATCAATCACATATACATATACAGTATATGTAATTATTTTATAATATTAATTTAATTAAATAACAAAAATAAAAGTGTAACAAACTTACATGTCCATTTTCTTCATATTCTTCATATTTAACTATAAATTTTATAAAACAATCTGTCGAAATAATTCTTTTGATATTTATTTTCCAAACTATATCATACAAAATATATCTGTACAACTCTTTTACATTAAACTTGGGTAAGCTTAAGCAATTATGTTTAATAGGTAATATATTCCCCGATGAACTTAATTTTTAAAATATCAGTAATTTTATATATATAAATTACTCAAAATCTCAAATAATAAATACTAATAATTACCTATTTAAATTACTTTCTTGAAATTGATAATCATTATTTAAATTCATAAGATTTGAAATAATATAAACCCTTTGTACTATAAAATAATAGTACATTAAGTTAGTAATAGTAATTAATTTAAAAAATAGCAATAGATTAATTGTACTTACTTTTAAACATATAAATATAAAACTTATTAATAATTCCAAGTTCTGAGATTTTTTTAATTCTATAAAATTTACATAAATATGACCAAAACTTTGAATATTTTTGTAGTAAGTAAATAAATGAGATGTCATTGCTTAATGTAAATAATCTATCTAAATCTGATTTTGCATCTTTATACTTTTTTAATTCAATATATATTTTACATCTAACAAAAAGTAATGATGTATTATTATTTATATTGGAAATTTGATTAATTCCAGTAAAAAGTTCATGGGAATTTTCAATATTAGAAGTTTGTGAATATTTTAAATAGTTAACTTGAATTTTTGCTAAACTATTATCAGAATCAAATTCAATACATTTTTCAAATGCTCCCATAGAACTACTAATATCTTTCATTGTATGATAAATTAATCCTTTATAATAATATGCTAAACTATTAGTAAAATCTAATTGAATAATTTTATTAAGATCTAATAAAGCTTTGTCATATTCTTGAAGTATATAATATGTAGTAGCCCTCTTAATTAAATTATGAACATTTTCTGGGTCTACATTATTTGCTTTTGTAAAATATATTATAGCATTTTCATACTTTTCCATTTTACTTAGAATTTCTCCATAATAACATAAAATTAATGAATCTTTCTCATTGATACTAAGTAATTTATCTAATATTCTTAAAGTATTAAGATATTCATCTTGTCTTTCATAAATATAAGCACAATTTTTAAGACATAAATGATTATTTGGTTCATTTTGTAAGGTAGTATTAAAATTTTCTAAAGCGCTATAATCATAAAGGCAATTCATGTAACAAATTCCGAGCATTATATATATATTATTTATTTTAGCATTATAATTTAATGAAATTTGTAAATTCTTTTTTGCGTCTTTATAAAATTTTTGTCTAAAGTAAATTTCTCCACTAATATACCAAGCAATAGATCTTTTTTCCTTTAACTTAATTGCTTCATGTAAATATAAATGTGCTTGTTTATAATCATTAAGACATCTATAAGTATAAGCTAAAATACATCTCATGGAATAACTTTGTGGAAAAGTTTTAAGAAATTCTTTACAACAAGATATAGCTTCTTTATAATTTTTTTCAAATAATTCTTTTATAGCATTTCTGTATGTTGGATGTTGCTTTTTTCTGATTTGAAATATTGATTTTAATGACCTATTTATACTAGTTAATTTAATTGCTTCTTGAATTTTCTTTTTTTTGATTAATATAGAATTAACATCTGAATCACCTGAATCACTATCATATTGATTATCTTTTGAAGATGAAACATACCCAGCTTCAATAAATTGGGAACATAAATTTTTATAAATTGTATTTTGTGGTAAATACTTAATTTCATTATCCTCAATTTTTTCTCGACATTCAGGACATTTTTTTTGTTTTAATTTTATAAAATTATTAAGTGATAATGTATGTTGACATTTTAGAACACATAATTGGTCTGTTGGTTCATGACCAATAGAACATGTCATTTCATTCGCAATATTTTCTAATATATTATACGATTTTGATAACTTTTTTGTTAAATTTGTATTTTGAATTTGAATTGGACACTTTTCTTTTCCTTTTCCATTTCCTTTTTCATTATCATTATTTATAAAAAAATTAAAATCATCAGAACTTTTATTTTTAGTAAATGATAATAAATTTTGAAATTTTTCCGAAAAATCTGTTGTTGGGTTGTTTTCATTTAATTTTTGAACATATTGATCAAAATCAATTTGGATTATTGAAAACATTTTATTATTGATATTACTTAAATGAAATAATATTTCAATTGCTTTAAATTGAATGAAACTACTTGGAGCTCTATTAAGTGATTCAATTGCTAAATAATAACAAAGACCATGTGTAGAAATTCGAGTAGATTTATGAATGAGAGTTTGAACAAGATCTAATATTCCAAACCATAAAGTATGTGGCAAAGTTAGAGGTTCATTTCCAGCAAAATCATTTAATAAATTTCCAGTATTTCTTAAAACTTTAACAAGTTTATTTGATACTTCATCAAATTTTGATTGAGAATTTAAAATAGAATTATTAGCAACATTAACCCATTCTCTTTCCAGATAACTCCAGAAATATTCCATTAATATCATCTCTTGAAATTTTTTACTAATTGCTATTTCAGTATCACACCATGTAAAAAGATTATGTTGAATTATTAACATAATTCTCCAATCTAAATAGTAAGATGATACTGGATATTTGAAACTCAACCCTCTACGTAGATGAGTAAGTATTGAAAATAATGAACTAACATCTTTTGGAGTAATTCCAGTTGCTGTTGATGGTGGTGTAATGCTAAATACAGCTTTAAGTAATTCCTTAGATCTTCGTATAATTTCTTGAAACAACGTCTCATCATCACGCAAACTGTGTAAAGTATCTCGTAAATGAATTAATAAGAAATCAATATTATAATTTCGTTTATTAATAAAATTTCCATTTTCTTTGTCATCTTGCTGTAATTGATTAAATTGATTGAAACCAGATCTATAATTATTATCAATGCCTTCTTGCATTACTTGGGTTGTTTTATTATGAATCTCTGCAAATTTCGCTAAGGAATTATAAACTTTATCTCGAAGTTCTTTGCTTAAACGCATTGGTGTAACACAAATTTTTTCCAATACTGCCACCCAGGTACGTAAATGTAATTCTAGCCTAACCATACTTTGTTTTCCGTAATAATCAAAATGTATTGGATCTGCCAAAGTAACTAAAGAATTACGAAGAATTCCATCTGAAAATTGATTAAGTGGGTTTTCAAAGAGCAATTTAAGAGCAAATAGATATTCTAAATTAATCAAATTTTTATTAATAAGTTCTTCCGCTTTTTCATCTGGTGAGTCAAATCCATCTTTTTCTAATTGTAAAAGTATGCGATTGTTTGAAGTATTTTTAAGTAGGGGCGTTTTTAATATGACAGTATTATTCTCTAAGTTACTAAGTGAAGAACTTCCGCGGTTCTATATATGTATAAGTTATAATGTTAAATAAATTAAAAACTCGCATATTTCTAATTTTTATATGAATTTTTCTCACCTGGATTGAATATTTTTCCATTTTTCTTTTTATTGAAAGTCATAAAGTCCAAAGGGTAATAAAAAACTAATAAAGTAATAAAGTTCATTTTATTTATAAACGAACGTGGCGCGTGACAATAAGAATTTCTAAGATAACTAGTTTATAACCGGAATTAATTTTTAAAATAGTAATGTCATGAAAATTTTTATTCATGCAACTTCTATTTATAATCATTTATCATTTAAATGCTTATTTAGAAAAGTTATGTAACGATCGTAACGTATAGCAAGGTGCGGGCACTCCGAAAGAGGAAATGAGACAATGAAACGACAAAGATAGTATTGATCATCAATACGATGTTTGATGGCGTGACGTCGTGACGTTATCATAATCACTATACGAACTATATATATGAGAAATAAGCATTATTAACATTAACAATTAAAAAAAAAATTGTTAATTGCCAGATCACGTGTCTGTTGATCTTGAAATTTTGCTGAACGAAATGGCGATGAAAATATTTTCATAAAAATTGTTTAATTATTTAATTAATAATTAATATCAGCTATGTTATTTATTTGTGAAATATTATTTCAAATATATTTCTGACTAAAATAATACTAATAGTATTAGAGGATTTCCGATTCTCACATTTTTGAATAATAATAAATTTTTTTCCCTCTTAAAAATATTATTACCAAGCTTTTAACTTAAAACTCTAACAAGTTAATATATTTTATCAGGATTAAAATTTTAGAAAATATAGATATGATAACTACTTAATATATTTAATAAGAAATAGATGAAAATTTTGTCTTACCTATTAGAACTTAAAATATGATTTCAAGTTCTCATTTTGAATATATTTATGAAAAAAATGTTTATTTTCAAAAATAAAATCGATGAATGAATGTCTACAGTATTATTTCCGGCAGTGTTAAATTATTCACAAAAACCAAACGCAACTCTTTTAAAAATATGAATGGATAACTTACAAATAACTTCATTACCAACTCGAGCGAAATAAAATTCTCATTATTCAATTTCTTATTTTTTCAAATGTCTTGTTATTTTGCTTTATTTATTTTACATTTCACTTTTTTTTATGCATTTTTTATTTATTTTGTTAAGAACATAATTTAATTAATCTAGTAATAGAGGTAGGTAAAGATTCTTTTTTATTTCTTTACTATTATCCATAAATAACTTGCTTTTTTTTTTTCTAGAAACAGCTCAACAATTATACAAATCCTAAAAAGTAAAAAAATAAGAAAAAAGCTCTCACATACATTTAACTCGATGTTCCAAGACATGATTTTATTTAGCGTCAAACCAGTTCTTAAATAAGATGAAGAGAAGGAAAATGTTATTACTAATATTAATAAAGAAATCTGATTATCCTCATCGGTTCTGTTATTTAAAAAAAAATTTACCTTAATAATCTTACGCACTTCTTAAGTTAATAGTTTCCTTATTTCAAAAATGTTACTTCTACTTATTGGAATAATTTGTTAAAATATTTCCACTTGGAAATTGAAATTGCAAATTTGATATTAAATATGGCTAAATGTTAGGCTAGGCCAATTTTGATTTTCTGTTTACAAAATTCCCTCTCAAATAATTCTAAGTTTATACAGACATCAAAAAAAGCAAAATGGCTGCGTGAAAAGATTTAGATCCAAATTTAGACAATACTACCGAAAAATGCGAAATAAAATTATTTTTACCTAAGCATTTTTTGTCTTTACGCTAGGAAATTAATTTTTAGATTAATAATAATATTACATGATTGGTTAAATGAACCATGTCTAGTAAATATGGTAAATGAAAGAAAATGTAAGGTATTTCATAATATCCATATGAATATGAAGATATTGCCATTGAAGGATCGAAAATTTTATTGTATATACGTAAATCATGAAAATTTTATTATGCAATTTAAATTGGGTAAAAATTTTTTAAAAAAAACGAGATTTTATGTAAAATCAGGACGGCACTGAAGAACCCATTAAATTGTAAAATTTTACTACAGTATATCGGAATTCACTGTACTATAAGTAGGGCTATATTAATTAATTATTAATTTACTAAATATAATATTAACAGTTAAGTTATAATTCACTATCAATATTATATCACAAAAAGATTTTATTATTAAATAGAATTATTAAATTCTGGAAAAAAAACCATGTTTGAATATACAAAAGTGATCAATTTTTTGTGTCTTTGATTTAACCTTGATTTTAATTGGATATTTTTTGCCCTTGTGATGCCAAAATTGTGGATGTTACTTAACTTTATTTGGAATTTGTTTTTTTCTATTTTGTTAGAAAATAAATAAACAAATAGATTTTCCTAATATTTTTAGCTTAGAAATGAAAAACTAGCTGTAGTTTATCTTACTTGACACAATCAAACAGATACAATACTTTATTTTAATTATTACTAATGACTAACTATTTTTGTGATAATGACTTGGTAAAGTATTATTATTATTATTGATTTAAAGCAATCCTGTTTATCAGACTTTGGTTTATTAAGAAATAACTAATGCATCATATAATCTAGATGTCCTTGGTGTATTTCCTTTATTTGCCAAAATATTTAAATAATGTTAAAATTAAATAGTAATTTATATTTAATATTCAAATAAAATATATAAAAAAGGAATTATCTAAAATACAAACTAAGAATCTTTAAAATATCCTACTACTCTAGCCTTGGTGTTTAAATAAATCAAAAAAGAATAAAATAAAGATTTTTATTGAATGCATGATATAATTAGTTAATTTTTATCTGTTTTGACATTTAAAGAATAAATTACTAATTTCATGCAAATAATTTGCAAAACTAATTTATTTTATATCATACTATATTACATACCTAATGACTTCAAATTAACCATATATTCACCCAAATCTTCACTTACTAGCATTTCATTCACTTTTACACTAGCTTGTGAATCTTCACTTTCAAGAATTTCGTTCAATTTTTTGCTAGTATTTTCATCTGTTTTAATATTTAAATAATTAAATAAATAAAATTAATTTCACAAAATAATTTGCAAGATTAATTTCTATAAATACATTACATACCTAATGACTTTAAATCCTTAATTATATAATCATTCAAATCTTCACTTACTAGCATTTCACTTTCAAGAATTTCATTTAATTTTTTACTAGTAAAATTAAGCAAGCGACTTATATAACAAGCCTGTGGATGAGATTCAGTAACAAGATTATTATGCTCAATTGGTGCATTTATAAATTCCATAATGTTGCATTTTAATTCTTCATCAATATCTTTAATTTTCTTGCTAATAGGAAGATAAATCCATTTTTTAATAATTTCTAATACTTCCTTAGAAGATGGCCTATTTAATAGATTTTCATCCCAACATTTTTTCATCAAATCTACATAGCATTGTGGAGTATTTTCAATAATTTCAGGACGTTCACCTTTACAAATACTTAAACTAAGTTGAATATCATGTGCTCTATTGTTAAATGGTGGTATTCCAGATGTAAATTCCCACATAATCATCGAAAAACTGTATACATCACTAGCTGGAGTATAAGGTTTGCCTCTTAAAACTTCAGGTGCCATAAATGGTACAACACCATAAATCTTATACTCTTTCAAAAATGATTTTACAGGTTGACATAATCCTAAATCACTAACATAAATATTACTCTCATTATGATTTAAAATATTACCATCATGAAAATCACAATGAATAAGATTTTGTTTATGAATAAAATTAAGTCCAGAAACAATTTTATGCAACATATATAATTTTTGATTCCAACCACTTTCAATTATTCTTGTTAAGTTTCCTCTTAAATTACCTTTGTTTGCATAATCCATTACTACCATATATTTCAAAGTATCTGGATTTTTTGTAAATCCATAAAAATAAATAATATCATATGAATTTAAACAACTCTCATGATATTTCCACTATAAAGATTAATAATATATTAACATAAATAAATGATAATTTAAATTAAAAAAATAAATGATGTAACATCTCACTTCATTTAAAAATTCAATCAAATTTTCATTTAAATCATTATGACATTTAAGAATTACTTCAATATCTCCATCATTGCTTAACCATATAGCTTTGTGTATAGTACCAAATCCTCCTTCATTAAGATATTCAACATCTTTAAATTTATTATAGGGAATCCATTTTAATTTTTTTTCAAGAATAAATTCATCTATAATTGTATTTTCACTTTTTCCAAATCTATAATTTAAATAGTAATTAATATTATATCAAAACTTATAATAAAATTTACACTAAAATTCAGGATTAAAATTAACACTTACTCTAAAATTTAAATAGGAATTTAAGATAATATAAGTTTTAGTTCTTATATAAATATATATCAATAATAAGCTATATCACAACTTACCAACTGAAATTTTAAATGAAAGAATAGTTAACAAATAAATATTATATAAATTATATAACAATAAAAATAACAAATAACCTACAAGCTATATTATTAAATAATTTTTTAAATAAAGAATTTAGTTAGCTTAAATTATATTAATAATAGAATTAAATAAATAAATTATAACCTACAATCTAAAGGAATTACAAAATAATTTTTTAAATAAAGAATTTAGTTAATTTAAATTATAAAACAATAAGTAATAATAGAATAAATAAATAATTTATGACTAACAATCTAAAGGAATTACAAATAATTTTTTTAAATAAAGAATTTAGTTAATTTAAATTATATGTAAATATTATAACAATAAGTAACAAATAGATAACTTACCAACTAAATGAAATTACAAAAATAATTTTTTAAATAAAAAATTTAGTTAGTTTAAATTATATGTATAACAATATGTAATAATAGAACTAAATAAATAGCCTATAACTTACGATCTATTTAAATAAAGATTTAATTAGTTTAAATTATATAACAAAAAGTAATAATAAAATTAAATAAATAACTTACTTCCTATATTATTCAAATAATTGTTTACAAAAGAATTTAATTAGTTTAAATTATATGTAAATATTATAACAATAAGTATAATAGAATTAAATAAATAACTTGCCAACTAAAAGAATTTACAAAATAATTTTTAAATAAAGAATTTAATTAGTTTAAATTATATGTAAATATTATAACAATAAGTAATAATAGAATTAAATAAATAACTTACCAACTAAGTGAAATTACAAAAATGATTTTTAAATAAAGAATTTAGTTAGGTTTAAATTATATGTAAATAATATAACAACAAGTAATAATAGAATTAAGTAATAATAGAATTAAATAACAATTTACTCCCTATATTATTTAAATAATTTTTTTTAAATAAAGAATTTAGTTAGTTAAAATTATATGTAAATACTATAACAATAAATAATAATATAATTAAATAAATAACTTACTTCCTATTATTATTTAAATAATTGTTCAAATAAAGAATTTTAGTTAGTTTAAATTATATGTAAATATTAAAATAATAAGAATTAAATAAATAACTTATAACTTACGATCTATTTAAATAAAGAATTTAGTTAATTTGAATTATATGTAAATATTATAACAAATAAGTAATAATAGAATTAAATAAATGACTTACCAACTAAATGAAATTACAAAAATAAATTTTTAAATAAAGAATTAAATTATACGTAAATATTATAACAACAAGTAATAATAGAATCAAATAAACAATTTACTCCCTATATTATTTAAATAATTTTTTTAAATAAAAATTTAGTTAGTTTAAATTATATGTAAATATTGTAACAATAAGTAATAGTAGAATTAAATAAATAACTTACTTCCTATATTATTTAAATAATTGTTTAAATAAAGAATTTAATTAGTTTAATTTATATGTAAATATTATAACAAAAGTAATAATAGAATTGAAAAATAACGTACCAACTAAATGAAATTACAAAAATAATTTTTAAATAAAAAATTTAGTTAGTTTAAATTATATGTAAATATTATAACAATAAGTAATAATAGAATTAAATAAATAACTTACCAACTAAATGAAGTTACAAAAATAATTTTTAAATAAAGAATTTAATTAGTTTAAATTATATATAAATATTATACCAATAAGTACTAATAATTGAATTAAATAAATAACTTATAACTTACGATCTATTTAAATAATATTTAGTTAGTTTAAATTATATATAAATATTATGACAATAAGTACTAATAATAAAATTAAATAAAAAACTTACATCCTATATTATTTAAATAATTTTTAAATATAGTGTAAATATTATAACAATAAGTACTAATAATAGAATTAAATAAATAACTTACCAACTAAATGAAATTGCAAAAATAATTTTTTTAAATAAAGAATTTAGTTAGTTTAAATTATATGTATAACAATATGTAATAATAGAACTAAATAAATAGCCTATAACTTACGATCTATTTAAATAAAGATTTAATTAGTTTAAATTATATAACAAAAAGTAATAATAAAATTAAATAAATAACTTACTTCCTATATTATTCAAATAATTGTTTACAAAAGAATTTAATTAGGTTTAATTATATGTAAATATTATAACAATAAGTTTTAATAGAATTAAATAAATAACTTATAACTTACGATCTATTTAAATAAAGAATTTAGTTAGTTTAAATTATATGTAAGTATTATAACAATAAGCAAATAATAGAATTAAATAAATAACTTACTTCCTATATTATTTAAATAATTTTAAATAAAGAATTTAGTTAGTTTAAATTGTATGTATATATTATAACAATAAGAAATAATAGAATTAAATGAACAATTTACTCCCTACATTATTTAAATAATTTTTTTAAATAAAGAAATTAGTTAGTTAAAATTATATGTAAATGTTATAACAATAAGTTTTAATAAAATTAAATAAATAACTTATAACTTACGAGCTATTTAAATAAAGAATTTAGTTATTTTAAATTATATGTAAGTATTATAACAATAAGTAATGCTAATAGAATTAAATAAATACTTATAACTTACGATCTATTTAAATAAAAAATTTAGTTAGTTTAAAAATATTATAACAATAAGTAATGACAGAATTAAATAAATTAAATAAATGACTTACTAACTAGTAAAAGAAATTACAAAATAATTTTTAAATAAAGAATTTGTTAGCTTAAATCATATAAATAATAGAAATAAGACATCATATAACTTACACCCTGAATTATTATTAATTTTTAATTAGTTAGATATAAATATGAAAGAAAGGTATTTACTATAAATTGAATATATTACTTACAATCTATTATTTAAATTAAGAATATAATTAGTTAAATTATATAAAAATATTAATATTATTCTTAAGTATTATAACTTACCAACTGTAAATATAATTAATTAATTATTAAACAAAAAATTTAGTTATTTGAATATTATGTAAAATAAATAAAGTAAAAAACTAAAAATTTAAATAGCTAATAACTTACAAACTATAGTATTATTAATTATTAAATGAATTGTTTAGTTACATAAAATATAACAATAATAATAAGTAATTCCATTGTTATTTAATTATAATATAACCTATTAACTTACGAGCTAAATTATTTAATATATTTTTTATATAATATATTTAGTTGGTATATTATATAAAGTTTTATTTATTGATAAGTATTTTAAAAGTTATTTGCAAATAAAAATTTGATGTTTCAGCTTGTTTAATATACCTTCAGATTCCTTGGTACTACTTCCTTCAGATTCTTCAGAGCCATTTTTTTTATTAATACTACCGAAGACTAGTTTTATTATATTGCCAATTTGTTAAAAATTTCAAAATTCTAATTGTATTAAATGAACATACTATATATATGATTTTACCCTTATCATTACTGTGAGCCATTACTATATAACAATATATAAAAATTTTCCCTAACTATAAAAGGGATAAAATAAATATTATTTATTAAACACCTTATAAGTATGAGTAAATATGGTAATAATATTTATACAAAATTCATTATGTTGATCACAAGTACAAGTATTGCATATATACTGTACATGTATGACAAGAAAATTTTGCATGTCCGGAATGCATGTTGATCATTAATCCTCATTGTTACATAGAAAAAATCACAAAATTGAGAAAATTTTCTTAATACATATTAAATATACAAATTTCAAAAGTCATTAAGAAGATAAGTTTGGCTACTTTGAAAGTTTACTTAGAATGATAAAGAATGTCAAAGGTAGTTTTGAATATCACTTTTGATTTTTCATTAAAACCAACTTAAAAATGAACAGCATATATTTATTATTTTCTAGTTTTATTTTAAAAAAAAATTTTGCGTATACTTCAGGGTATAAATTCAACATTTTAGTCAAAATAAACCACCTCTAGGTATTTAGATAAAATATCTAAACTACTTGCATATAAATTTTTTAATATAAATATTTAATAAAAAAATAATACATTATCTATCTGTTTAATAATATGAATTTATTATTTTTAAATATAATTTCATTAAATTATTTTGATTTATAAAAATTTTTATTAATTCGTGATCTGTATGTTGATCTTTTTTTTTTTTTTTTTTTTTTAAACAGTAATGCGCTTTATTAATTATATAAGATCTAAATCGATCAATAATTACAAATTTAAGCACCTAGAGCAAAGAAAGTTCAAAGACTTTCTAAACCCTATAACTGAGTAATCTTTAGACTAATTTCTAATTTAAAATCTAACTAATACATTGTGTTTGATTTTAAAATTAATATTGTTTTATACTACGCTACTATTTTAAAATTTTTTGATGTTTTTGGATTTTTGCTATTTTCTATATTTTGAGGCTTTACATTTTTTCCTTAAACTTCCTAAACTAATTGTGAAGAAAATAATAATAATAACTATATACTGTAATGAGTAAAAAAACGTCCTAAAATAAAGCAATAAAAATTTTAATAATAAAAATTTAAAAGAAAACTAAAATACTTTATCACGGAAAATATCCATCACAAAACTCTTTGTTGTTTAAGAAAACTTCGATCAAATTCCAGAATCGTCATTTCTGTTAAACTTTTAATTTTGTTAAAAAATTTTTGGGATATAATTTGTTTATTCGTTATCCGAATTGTCCCTTTCTTCCTGCTTTCGCACTATACGCTTTTTGTTGATATTAGTCTTTTCTTCAACGTTATCATCCAAAGTATCCACTACTTTCTTTTTCCAGTAAAAAAAAATTGTCAACGTAATGTCCCTTTCAGTTTTTTATAAAAAAAAAATAATTCTTTTACCCAAAAAAAGAAAATCAATTATCAAACAATAAATATCAAATTACCTTTATATTTTACTATAAGTCAATCAAAAATCGTTATGTTAATTTACTATTATTATTATTTATTATTATTCACTATTTATTGTTAAAAAAAATATATATATTTCAAACTAAAAAAGAAAACATTATTGATTAATAAGAATTTACATTTAGCGATTTATTTGGTTAAAGTGATTTCCCGACAGATGATTTCTCAACAGGCCAGATGTATGCAGAATTATGCACGAACATGTGATCAAACAGCGTTAGACTGTCTTCGTAAGCGATTTATATACGGCACGATTTCATTTATTATAATTATAAACTAATAATAATTATAAACTAAAAAATCAACTATAAAAGAAAGAATCAAATTTCCTTTATAAATTTTACATTATGTTATATCGTAAAACAAGTTCAAAATAAATTATATTTCATATATTTTACATTTACATTTTATAGTCCTAACTCTTTGTTATCGGATCATTAAAATTTGCAGTAGATTCATATAAATTATCAATCGCGTAAAACAATATTTGTCACATTATTTATTATGCGAACTTTATTGTGGCATAATTTTAAAAAGCAAATCAATAACTGAAAGAAGAAACATTACTAACGTTTCCTATATTTTTTTTGTACTGAAAACAATAAGTTTTGACATGTCGAAACTTAAAAAAAAAAAAATACTTTTTTTAAAAAATTTCTTGATACTTTTTTTTTTATAGGACTTTCAGCGTGTTCAACTTCAGAAAATGAAATAAGTTTTGAAGCATTATTTTCAACTAAAACTAAGTATCAGTGACCACCTTTGATGGTATAAGTGACACGTAACTTTGTTTTTAAGTAAAAATGGTTAGAAGACACAGTTTTAATCGTAGAGTACAACAAGATCTTAAAGAGTCTATTAAAGGTCAAGGAGAAGTGAACAATGTCAAATCCAAGGTACGTATGACACATCTTTGGCGTATTTACGTAGCGGCAACCAGCGGCGTTTGCGTTGGAGGTAGTCTTATCATTTGTATCTTTACGTGTTTATCATAAATGGTACCATGTAGGTCTATGACCTTGTACCTTCGTTTCACCTTGTCTACCATGTAGGTCTTGACCTCGTAGGCATTGCAGACGTTAAAAACGCTCGTGATATTGATGATGTACTCAGTTTTACTGACCATACATTAGCTAACATTTCTAGGAAATCCCCACCCTCTTATTTAGAGGCTACCACTGGTTCTGGCTTTAGATGCCATTATATGAAAAGATATGATAATATAAATAATAGTGATGTGTAGACCTTTGAATTATGCTCGTAGGACTCGACAACAGGCTCTTAGTTGTCATAGGTCTCACTTTTGTCACGGAAATTTGGATTGGAAAGACGTTGGTTGGAGTAGGGATTAAGTCAGGATTAATCCTAACGATGATGGTCATCTTAAGTGCTATAGGTAGGGGCTGATTTGCGTAACTTAGTTTTTAAGTAAAAATGAAAAAAAAACAGTTTATATAAAGTACGTTATGATAGTAATGGTAATAGGACAGGTTTAAATTACTTTTTTCTAATTTTTTTTTTAGGAAAAATTACTAACATTTCCAATATATTTTTTGTAGGTTTTTGGCGTGTTCGGTAAGTTTTGGCATGTCTAAGCCTTTTTTAAAAAAAAAAATTATCTTTTTTTTAAATTTCTTTTTAGGAAACGTTTCTAACGTTTTGATACCTTTTTTTTATAGGACTTTCGGCGGGCCAGATCTTAACGTTAAACGGAAGAAATATGAAGAATTGTTTTATAAGAAGTTTATAACACAAAAACTGGGTTTCAGAAATTTAGCTAAAAATAGTTGGTTACGTTTGGAATTTGAAATTATGGAAAAGCCAGAGTTTAGTAGAAAAATTAAAAAAGAAATTTTTGATGGAATTATTGAAAAACACGAACATTTTTTCAATTTGTAAATATTCTATAAAAAACTTTCAAGAATAATAATGTACTAAATATAAACTAAATATTTATTTATTTATAAATAACTTTACATGCGTAAAGATTTACCATTTGAGTATTACCTGCTACACAATTTTCTGTAAAAATTAATTTATTTTTGGCTCCATAACAAGAATTATCAATAAGTTGTTTTCGATATAGGTCATTTGACAGGATCAGATTATGCTCACGTAAGTGATACAACCTGGATCTAGAACACACTTTTTTTTTTGTGTTAAGAAGGTACAAAAACAAATGATTATCAATCACGTGATTTTATACTACCTTACGTAAAATGAAACACTAAACACTAAGGGGAATATTTACAGAGACAAATAAGCTATAGGTAATAAGAATTATTCTAAGAATTTATGATAATCAGTAAATATCAAATCATTAAAAAAATAAGTCAATTAACCCATTTTTAAAAATTGTTCAAACAATAATCAAAATTAATCAAACAATCATCACTGTCAGGCCAGTTATCATTATATTATTATTTACTCATTTTTTTTTAATAAGATGATTGTGAAAACTCTTGCTGCTGCCGGAATAACTCATCCGATAGAAAATTACTTTTCCATTTTTATGGCAAGCTATCCCAAATTTACAAATAAATATTATGCTAAGCTGCTCAACCAGACATATTATGATTTTCACTTTACATAGCGTCAGCACGTCAATTAACAAAAAATATATCATAAATAAATTATTATCGTTATCACACGGAAATGTATTGTGACAATGACTGTACAAAGAATACTTAGTTTCAAATTATGCACGAACATGTACAAATAAAGTTAAATTTAAAATCAAGAATATTAATCTGTGTGATGGTTGATTTATTTGTTGGGAATATGGCTGACGTATTCGTAACGCATGAATATTATTACTATAACAGATAATAGATTTATACCAATCTTTAAATAATTTCTAAAAAAGGATATACCCGATATGACCCGGACAATTTTGAAACATAAAGGGAGAATAACAAAAAGAAAACAATACGGTACATAGGGAAGGAAATAACAATGAAAAAATAAATTACATAATAAGAAAACAATGTAAATTATGTAAAATTCTAATTTTTTACGATGATAATAGATATTTTAAAAGCCATAAAATTTGTTTGTTTGGTTTATTATAAATACACTTGGCTTCACATCGTAAAATTTCATCAAAAGAAAAAGTCCAAAGAACAAAAAAAAATCAACTAATCAAATTAATCAAAGAAATCAAAAAAATACTAAATTCTCAATTATTTCTCAAGTAAATTAATCAAAAATGAATCCAACAACTATTATTACCTCTAAACCAATTGTTATTGTTATTTCCGAAATAACTGAAAAACCTGATGGTAATCCTACAAACTCGTGTTCTATAATGTAAACGGAAAATTCTTCTACGAGGACGCACAAACGACTTAACGACTTCGGTTATTACATGAAAATCAATTTTTAACCGAAAAATTATACCTAATGACTATTCGTTACGAAATGGCCTAGAGCTATTATTTCTATTAAATTTCTTTATATCAACATGTATCATATGTATCATAAATATGTAATTTAAAACTTTATTTGTAATTTTGAAATATTTTTTATATTTTTTACTTGTTCATTAAAAATTTAAAAATAAAAATTTTTTAATTTTACGTAAATTATAACTGAAAATATTCTTCTGTTGCGCTTCATCTTCATTAAAAAAAAAAAAAAAAAAAA